GCGCGGATGCGCCCTATGCGAACAAAAACGCGACGCCAGGATTGCAGTAGAGGCCAAGCCCTCTGGGGAGGCTTCCCGAAGCTCTCCGAAGGCCCTCCACCAGGAGAGGGCTCACCGGCAGCCGCCAAGCGACCATGGCCGCCTCCAGCCCTTCGGCGGCGCAGGCGTGCGGCGCTGCCCGCCAGCCACCCGCCTGGCCACTCGCTGGCCGGCGTCGCCGCCTGCCACCACGCTGCTGGCTGGACTTGGATGGAAAAACCAGGCACAAACATCAAGCTACATTTCCTTTTGTGGTAATATGGGGGAAGGTATGGAAAATGGCGGGGAAGAGGGAAATCCGTGAAGTTCAGGAAATCATGGGAAATCCTGGGCCCATTGACATGTTAGCCAGCGTGGACCCGAAGCAGTAGATTCTTGCAGTCTACGTTGGGCAATCTATGCGGCAAGATAAATATAAATGTAAATATCTATGTGTGTGTAGTGCAATATACGCGGTGCAACCAACGTACTGCAATCTATGTGGTGCAATCTATGTGGCGCAATATGTACATATATGTGTGTGGCACACTCTACGCGGTACAACCTATGCAATGCAGCCTACGCGGTGCAGCATATGTGGTGCAATCTGCGTGGTGCAATCTGCGCGGTGCAACTAATTTGCTGAACTTGAAGTTGTCTTCTCCATTGCTCGAGCAAACATCCCACCCTCCCACCCGCAACTTGGTCAGCAAAAGACGACGACGACGACGACGACGACGACGACGACGACGACGACGACGACGACGACGACGACGACGACGACGACGACGACGACGACGGCGCGCGCGCATGTGTCCCGCATGGTATTATTTGACACGGACAGTGGCCCTGGCAGGCGCGCGAACGTCGTTGAAGGAGCGCGCGAAAGTAGCTCGCACGAGCTCGTGCGACCGAAATGTTGAAACAAAACATTGGTTTTTTAAGGTTCGGACAGCGCGAGCGGGCAAAATTTTGAAAATCCGTGCAGGTTTGTTTCGAGGACCTACGGTGCGATTCGTGTGTTTTTATGGTACGCAGTGCTGAAATGCTCAAGAGACCCAATGGTTTTTGAAGATTTCGGCGCGCGCGCGAAGAAAAAACGAATGTGTCCCGCATGGCATTATTTGACCAGGATTATGCCCCTGGCAGGCGCGCAGCCGTTGTTGAAGAAGTTCGAAGCGCAGGAAAAAGTTGCTCGCAAGAGCCCTTTTGACAGAAATGTTGAAAAAGTAGTGGGTTTCCTAGGAATCCGCAAGAGCGCGCGGGGTGAATGTTTGAAACCTTTTTTTTTTTTAAAAACCATTGGGTTTTTGATGTTTTTATTTTAAAATCGCTACGAACACTAAGGTTTTGGAAGGATTTCGTCTTGCGCGCGCGAATGTGTCCCGCATGGTATTATTTGTCAGGGATTCGTGAAAAAGTGTTATGTTAGAAAGAACAATGTCCCCGCATAGTGTTATTTGACAGGGAACCGCAGGGGGGGATACCGGCTTGGCTGGGATGGTATGAATTTATATTTAGGATGGACATGTGGTCAGAATCATATGTGATTTACAGCACGCGCGGGGGAAGCGATAAGTCCGGGGGGGGGGGTAGAATCTATTATTCTTTTAGGAGAATCCACGCAATGCAGTCTAGTCGGTGCAATCTATCTCGTGCAACCTATATGGTGCAATCTATGCGACGGCGACGGCGGCGACGGCGGCGACGGGCGGCGACGGTCGGCGCGGAAGGCGACCGCCGCCCCTGATGAGCGGCGGTGACGGACGGCGACGGGCGGCACCGCCCGCAATAGCTGCCCCTGATCCCGAGATGGGTAAGCCAAGTAAGAACCACAAGCAGTGCAAGCACTGTTTGGGGGAATCTTGGAAGGTATGGGAAATGGCGAGGAAGAGGGAAATCCATAACGTCGAGGGAATTGTTGGAAATTCTGGGGTTCGCTTGTGTCGGTTTATGTGTGCCCACCCGGGCCCATGCACAGGGCTCATTTCGACTCCTCCGATTCGATTCGATTCGATTTCGATGGCTCCCGATTCCGATTCGATTCGACTTGGGATTCCGATTCGGATTCCGACTTCTCATGGGACGCATAGTAGCCTGCCGATTTCCGCCGATCCGACTTTTCCCGACTCGGCTGCCGATTTCCGCCGATCCGATTCATTTCGATCGCCGATCCGACTTATCGATTCGATCATGGGCTCTCCTGCATGCATTAGAGCAGGCAAGGAAAGAGCGCGCGGGCGCGCCGCCGCCCGTGCGTTGCTATCCCTGCATCTGCACAGCCTCGGCGCGCTCGCGCGCAGGGCCGAGGCAGCTGCTGGGCTCGAGTCGGGCCTGTCCTTCCACAGGAAGAACATGCAAAAAATAGTCCAAAAGTAGTCCGGTGACGATTTGTGGACCAGTTTTGCAGATTTGTTTAAGTATAGTTTTGACTATATATATATATATATATACACAGACCTACCTTTTTATCACAATTTCGCTTGTCCAAAATCCGCCTCTAGGAGGACATGCCCGAACTGATATCAGGCAGTGCGCCTGGGGCTCCCAGCCAGGCAGCTCCTTCGCCGCGCTCTCCTGGGCTCCCTGCGCGTCGGGCCTCGGGCAGCGTGGGCGGGCGCCGCTCTCTGCCTGCGGGCCCCGGGCCCCGGATCCCCGACGTCGCGACTCTTGCTTTGCAGCGGAGGAGGAGGAGGAGGAGGAGGAGGAGGAGGAGGAGGAGGAGGAGGAGGAGGAGGAGGAGGAGGAGGAGGAGGAGGAGGGAGGGAAGGGGGAGGAGGAGGAGGAGGGAGGAGGAGGAGGAGGAGGAGGGAGGAGCAGGAGGAGGAGGAGGCCCCAACCGCAGGGGACCGCAGGCGGCCCCGACCCCGACCCAACAGGGGGTCTGGTCGCTGCTCCCCGAGCAGGCCCCGGGCCCTGACCCCCGACGTCGCGACTCTTGCCTTGCAGCGTGGAGCGCAGGAGGCGCGGACCCCTCTTGGTTGACCCAGCAGCGAGGTCCAGCGAAGAGCGGGCTTCCCCTCTTGGTTGACCCAGCAGCGAGGTCCAGCGAAGAGCGGGCTTCGGGAACGAACAGTGACAGACATGTGTTTTGATTCGCGGGTCGAGAGCGCACCTCTTCCGGTCGAAGCTAAGCGGGCCGCGCGAAGCTTGGATTAAGCAAAGAGGGGGGGGGACAGAAGGAGAGCGGCCTCACGGCAAGGTCCAACGATGACAGAAACATAGCAACTCGGAGGGCCGCGCGTTTTTCTCGGATCGGCGCTGTGCCCCCCCTGGCGGCGCCTTCGGCGCCGCCCCTGGCGCGCTCTGCGCGCCAGGGATGGGCTCGCTGCCCGTGTCGCCGCGGACGTTGCCCATTTGAGGCAGAAGACCGCTTGCCCGCCGCGCGCAGAGGGGGGGTAGGGGGAGGGGGGAAGGCCTCTTAGAAGCCCCCCTGCTTCTTAGAAGGCGCTGGCCTCCTCTATAGACGCAAGGCCGGGGCCTTCTAAGAAGCAGCGGTGCTTGTAAGAAGCCATCCCCCTTCCCCCTACTCCGCAGCCACGCTTGCCCTACAGCGGCCGCTGGTGATTTGGGCAACATGTGCTGCTGGGCATCGTGCACATGCTCTCCTTACCCTGAAGTCGGGCCTGTCCATCTACAGGAGGAAGATTCAAACATAGAGAAGAATTAGTCTGGGGACGATCGATTTCTATCATTGGCTGACCATGTTTGAACATGCTTGGTGTATTTTTAATGTTTCGTCAAAGCTCCGCCGCCTGTAGGGGGACATGCCCGACCTAACCCTACCCCCCTCTCTCGCGCAGCCATGTTTGCCTTACAGCAGCCGCTGATGGTTTTGGGCAACACGTGCTGCTGGGCATCGTACGCATGCTCACCCTACCCTCAAGTCGTGCCTGTCCATCTACAGGAGGAGTATTCAAACATAGTTTTTAAAATCGTATGGGAACGATTCTTCATATTATGTTTATACTATATGCTTGAGTATGTGGGGGTATTTGTTCGTCCAAACTCCGCCTGTAGAGGGACACAAAGGACCTAAGCTTACCCCCCTCTCGCGCAGCCAAGCTTGCCCTACAGCGGCCGCGGATGGTTTTGGGCAACATGTGCTGCTGGGCATCGTACTGGAGGGTTTCTCCGAAGAGCTTAGGCGACCCGTCCTCCTGCTCCTCCTCCCTCCTCCTCCTCCTCCTCCTCCTCCACACTCCTTTCCCCTCCCTTCCTCCTCCTCCCTCCTCCTCCTCCTCTTACCTGCCTCCTCCTCCTCCTCCTCCTCCTCCTCCTCCTCCTTCTCCATCTCCTCATCCCCGTCCCGCTTCCCCTTCCTCCACCTCCTCCTCCTCCTCCTCCTCCTCCTCCTCCTCCTCGTGTCGCCTACGGCCCTGGGGGAAACTGTGCTCATCGTACACATGCTCTCCGTACCCCTCTCGGGCGTCCCATGGGCGTCTCAGACGTCTCGAGATTCTCAGATCTCTGGCCCCCAGTGGGGTGGTTTCTCCGAAGGGTTTAGGCGGCCCGTCCTCCTCCTCCTCCTCCCCTGCTAATCCTCCCCCTCCTCCTCTCCTACTCCCTCTGCGTCCTCCTCCCTCCTCCTCATCCTCTCCTCTCTCCTCTCCCTCCCTCCTCCTCCTTTTCTCATCCTCCTCCTCCTCCTCCTCCTCCTCCTCCCCCTCCATCTCCTCCTCTCCCTCCCCCTCCTCCGCCTCCTTCTCCTCCTCATCCTCCTCCTCCTCGGGTCGCCTACGGCCCCGGGGGGAAGCCGTGCAGTCCCTAGGGTTTTCTCGACCTCCTTATCTTTTGGGACCGCTTTTTCATCCCGAGTTGTTCTGTGACCTGAGGCCGGATATGTTGAAATCCCTAGAGGGCTGGAAGCAGGGACGAGTAGAACGAGGACGACAAATAGAAAGGCATCAACTACTAGTACGGAGGAGGTGGAGGACGTGGAAGCTGCTGCGTCGTGCCCTCCTTGCCTCCCGCGCGCGCAGTCGTCCGCGCAGCCGGCCAGCTTCCAGCTGCCGCTGTACCCGGAGCAGCGCCGGACCCTCGGCTGGATGCGGCAGCGTGAGGATGTTATTTCCGTCTGTCTCTGTCACTTATTATCTTTCTCTCTCTCTCTCTCTCTCTCTCTATCTCGCTCTCTTAGTCTCATTATTTATGTGTGTTGATGTCATGTGTTTGTTTCTCTCTCTCTCTCTTTCGTTATATTGCCACACATGCAGGTTTACATGCATGTATCGTCATACATAGGTACACCTGCAATTACGTGTTTATGTATGTTTATAGGTATGGATGTATGCACGTATTTTTGTATGCATGCATGTATGTATGTATGGATGGATGTATCTAGGTATGCGTATGTATTCGTATGCATGCATGCATGCCTCTATGTTCAATGTAAATATGTATGAATGTATGTATATGTATGCATGTGTATGTGTATGCACGGGGGAAAGATCGCGTTCTGTGGTCGCTTGGAGGGGGGGGGAGAACCGGACCCCCCCCTCCCTTCCTCCAGTACTTCTCCTCTTTCCCTCTCCTCGGGCCGGCGCCTGCGTCGGCGGCGGCTGGCGGAGGCGGCGGGGACGACGACTTCTTTTTCTGGGCCGGCGCCGGCGCCTGCGGCGGCGGGCGGCGGCGGTGGTTTGTGGAGGTGGTACTGGTGGTGGTGGTGGTGGCAGTGGTGGTGGTATGGTAGTTTGTGGTGGTGGTGGTTGGTTGTGGTAGTGGTGGTCGATGTGTCGGCTGTGGTGGTGGTGTGGTAGAATGTGGTGCTGGTGGTGGTGGTGGTGGTGGTAGTGGTGGTGGGTTTTTGGTGGTGGTGAGTTGTGCTGGTGGTGGTGGTGGTAACTTGTGGTGGTGGTGGTTGTGGTTGTGTGGTGGGTTGGTGGTGGTGGTGGTGGGTTGAGGTGGTGGTGGTGGTGGTGGGTTGAGGTGGTGGTGGTGGTGGTGGACGTGGTTCTGGTGGTGGTAGTGGTGGTGATCGTCGCTGCGTCCCCGCCGTCGGCGCTGCTGGCCGCTTCCAGCGCCGGCGCCGGCGCCAGCGCGGGGAGAGGGGGGGGGTTGGACCCCCCCCCCTCCCTAGGCTGCCTCTGGTCATCGTCGCTGCGTCCCCGCCGTCGCCGTCGGCGCTGCTGGCGGCCGCCAGCGCCGGCCCCGGCGCCGAGGGAGCGAGGGGGGGAAGGGGTTTTGGACTCCCCCCTCCCTTGGGAGGAGGGGGGGGAGGTTCGGGAGGGTGGGGGATTTGGGGGGGAGGGGAGTCGCCCTGGCTCTGATCGACGGCGCCGAGAGTTGGGTGGGGGCCCACCCCCGGTTCGAAACGCGTCGCCGAGTATTTCCAAGGCAATTAATTATATATATATATATATATATACATGCGTGTATGTATGTATGCATGCATGCATGTATTTATTTTTGTATGTATGTTTGTATGCATGCATGCATGCATGCATGCATGCATGCATGCATGCATGCATGTATGTATGTATATATGTATGTATGTATGTATGTATGTATGTATGTATGTATGTATGTATGTATGTAGTTATTAATGTATGTTTATATGTATGTAGTTATGTATGTTTGTATGTATGTATGCATGTATGTATGTATGTATGCGTATGCATGAATGCATGTATGTGTGTTTGTATGTATGTATGTATGTATGTAATGTATGGATGTATGGATGTATGGGTGTATGGATGTATGTATGTATGTATGCATAGATGTACGTGTGCAGGTATAGATGTGCTGCACGCGTGTATGTATGCATGATGCATGCATTGATCTATGTATGTATGCCTGCACGTATGTAATCGGACGGTAGGCATGTATGTAGGCCGGTTGGCATATATGTCCGTATGCGTGCGCGTGCGTGTCTGTATGTACGTGTGTAAACAATTCTGTGTGTAGGCATGTATGTATGCATGTATGTATGCATGTGCGTATGTACGCATGGCTGTATGTATGCATGCATGCGGGCAAGCTTACATGTCTGTGTGGTGAATGCATGCGTTCATGCATGCATTTGTTCATGCATGTGTGTGTGTTTGTATGTATGTGGTTCCGTGTGTATGTGTGTGCATACATGTAGGTTAGTTTGTTTGTATGCATGGACGTGTGTATGTGTGTATACACTAATGGTTGTTGGATGCATAGTTGAATACATGTGTTTGGATGGATGTACGTATGTTTGCATTAATGCCTGTGTACCTGTCTGTCTGTCTGTCTGTCTGTATGTATGGATTCATGCGAAGTTCGCGCTCTCTGTCTCATTCTGTCTCTCTCTCTCTCTCGCGCGCCATCCACACCTCTCCCTCTCGGGGATCTCTGGCCCACGCAGCACGGATGAGTGCCATAGCGGCCCCTGCCCCGTCAGTAGCCATGAGATGAGATGGGACAGGGGGTGGGCTGTGCCTTCTGCTGCATCGTTCCCTGTCTTCCAAAAGAACGCCTCTCAGGCCGCCTCTGGCACGCACACCAACCGACCTGCGAGATGATTATTTAATCGCTTCGCTCATTCCGTCGGCCCTGGAGCGCTACTTGGGGCCTCTTGGGGCCGTCTGGGGGGCCTTCTTGGAGGCTTCTTGGGAGCGTCTTGGGGCTCCTTGGCGGCGTATTGGGCTCCCCTGGGGCCTCTTGGGGGGCTCTTGGGGGCCCCTTGGGGCGGGAGGGGGGGTAGTCGATTGCAGCCCCCCCCTCGGAGGCCACGATCCTCGTGAGAGGTGGCGAAAAATAGCCTCCCCCCTGGGGATCGGCCGGGTCAGCTGGGGTACTTTTCGTCCGGGGCCCCCCAGGGGCAGCCCCGCGCGCGCGAACTAGAAATATTGTTAAGTAGTTACCGGAGATCTTAGCACGCCTTTGGCCCGTTGGGCAGGCGAATTCCATTCGCCGTTCCCCGTCCACTCCTTTTCCACTCCGAGGCCTGCCGACTCAGGGGATCTTGCTTGGTGCCGTGCGGCAGAGCGCTGCCTGGCCTCGGCTGTCAGGGCGTCTCCTCGTTGCCGCAGGCGCCGGCTCCTCGCGCGCCCTTTTTGTTGCCAGTGCTACTGCGCCCTGCTGCGCAGTGTCGCGTATTGCGCTGTCAGTGACGTGCCGTGCTATGCTCGGCTCCGCGGCGTCGTGCAATGGAGTGGCGTGCTTGGCCATGTCCTGCCCGATGCCGTGAGCGAAGCAGGAGCGACGTGGCATGGACGAGAAGATGGGCGAAGGGGCGCTGTAGAGGCTGGTGAGCTGTCTCTACCTAATGCCATGGAAGGCCATGCTGTAGGGTGCTCCGCTGGGCCGCGCTTCGCTGCGCCAAGCTGTGGTGCCGCGCTCCACTGCGCATTGTTATGTCGCGCGGTGCTTTGCATTGCATTGCCTTGCATTGCATTGCATGGCAGCTCACTGGGGTGCAGCTCATTGATGAATTCAACTGCGCGTCTATACCCCCGATTCTGAAGAAATGCCCATAATCGGGGCCGCGCCGGGGTCAGTCCCTCAGGCGCCTCTCGTGAGTCTGGGGGCCATCGTGGCCAAACAGAGACATCGCTCCTCGCGGCAAGACCGTGGCCCCCATGCATCCAGCGGTTCGACTTGTTCGAGACACGGGCCCCTGGACCTCTCGACCCCGTCCCTGGGGCCGCTCTCTCAGCTCCGACTGTTGTGTGACGGCTCCTGGGCCCGAAACTAGCATCCAGAAGCCCAGAATGGCGGCACGAATGGCCCCCTAGAATTGTCGAGCTGCCAGACGCGTGGGCTTCTGGCAAGACGTAGGCTGCATGGCCCAACGCAGCTGCCTCGGCTCAAGCCGCGGCGGCCCTGCGAAGCGCGCGCGCGCGGGCGCGCGCCCTCCGCTCCTGGAGGCCACATCCGCCGCGAGCGCGCCCAGACCTCGGGCGCCGCGGGGAAAATCTCCTCGCCGGCCTCCGCAGGAACAGTGCAGAGAGCGCCGCACCGGGCGGCCAGTCCGCAGCCCCCCCTGGGAGGCAGCCAGGGCGTGGGCGCGTCGACCAGGCAGCTCCATCCTCCCCCTCCTCCTCCTCCTCCTCCTCGTCCTCCTCCTCTTCCTCCTCCTCCTCCTGCTCCTCCTCCTCCTCCTCCTCCTCCTCCGCCTCCTGCTCCCAGCACCTCCGTCAGTTTTCCCACCCCCAAAACTGCACACACATACATTCATACACACACGCGCACACACACAAACATTCACACACACACATTCACACACATGCACATGAAGTTTATACATGTATACAAGAAAAAACAGCAAAACAACAACCCGGAGGTGCAGCAGCGAAGGGCGTCCAGGAGGCAACGGGGGCCCCGTGTGGGCGCTTTTCTCGCCGCTGTCGGCCCCACCGGGGGGGGCACTCCCCGGCCCCAGGGAGCGTCAATCGGCGGCGAGCGAGGGGGGGGGCACGAGAGGAGAAAGGCCTCCTCAGAAGGCGGCGGGGCTTCTCAGAAGGCCTCCGGCCTTCGGAGAAGTTTCTGTTCTGTCTCGGCGGAAAGCTTGGAGCACTTCTGAGAAGTCCCGGAAAGTTCTGGGCCTTCTGAGAAGGTCTTCTCCTTCTTGCTTCCCCCCCGGGCACGCCACCTGGTCAAGAGACGACTCGGGACGAGAAGAAGGCTCCCAGGGAACCCAGAGATCCGACGTAGCGAAAACATTGCAACATTGTGAGACAAATCACGCCCGGTGCCCTGGACGCCATCTTCCTGCGTCACGTTTCCAGCCGCATCGATCTGTGCGTGAGGGTCCCGGGGCTCGAACACAGGCGAAGACGCCTTGCCCGAAAAAATGGAGACGCCAGGATCTGCAGGAAGCACGCCAGGGTCTCAGCTCAGCCCCCGAGGTCCACACGGTCCGAGCGCAAGTCTCGGCGCCCGCTGGGGTGCGCTGCCCGGCCGCGGCCACCCGTGCGGCGCGCGGCGCCCTTTTTCCGCGCGGCTTCCGGCTGCCCTGTTTCATCGAACGCGACGAAGACGTGGCCTCACTGAGGTCCCCGTATTCGCATTGCGGATCATAAGTCTGGGCGTCCTGGTCTGAAGCATCTGCGGCACTGCTATTGAAGCTTTCGTAGAGTTGCATGGGCATGTGCATGCGACTGTGAGGCATGTGCCTGCGTGTGCGGCCCCTTCCGGACTTCAATATGGAAGTGAGCACTGCAGAAGTGAGCGCTATAGAAATAAGTCTGGTGACCTGGTGTGACCCTGATGTGTTTGGCCTTCCTGACTTCGGTCCCCTCCCAAAGGGTCAGGGCTTTTTTTGGTTAGTCACGGCTTTCTGCGCCGCCCTCGGCGTCCGCGGGTGCCGCTCCCAGGCCCCAGGGCTCCAGGCGTAAAGACGGCCCTGGGCGACGGGGTCGAAGGCTTCCAGGCTTACCTGAGACCCTGGCGTCTTCTTTTTTTCGAAGCCAGTGTTTCTTCGCCTTTCTTCGGGCCCGGAGACCCTCACATACCGATCCGGCTAGAGAAACGACGCAGAACGATGGGGTCTGGAGCTCTGGGCGTGACTGTTCACGATGGTGCATCTTTTTCCGCTACGCCGGCTCTGAGGGTTGAGCTGGGGGTTTCTCCAGAACCACCGCCACAGGGGCACCGACCTCTGCGTCAGAAGACCGCCACCCCTCCGGTCAGGAGCTTCGGCTTCGCGTGTCGCGCCGCCGGTTCTGGGCCACCAGGCTTCGGCGCGACCCGCTCACCGCGTCCCCGTCCCCGAGCGTCGGCATCCCGCGCCTGTCGCAGCCCCCACCACGCGCGGAGCGGAGCGACGCGCGGTCCGCCTGCGGGGCCTGGCGTGCCGCTGGGGACGCCGCCGCGGCACGCCAAGCAGAAGCTCCCGGCCGCAAGCTGAAGTCGGGCCTGGCCCCCTACAGGAGGAGTGTTCAAAAGCAGCCGAAAATCGTATGGGGACGATTTGTTGAGCATGTTTTCTGACTACTTGGGAATCTTTTGTTTGCTGGCTGCTTGGGATCTGTCGTCCACACTCCGTTCGATGTTTATGTCTTTTTGTTTGGTATGTTGGTACTTGTTGGGATACTTGTTTATTTTTCTCGTCCAGAGTGCGCCTGGAGGAGGACACGCCCGACCTCACCGTAGGCCCCTCGCGCCCCACGTCGGAGGCCTGGGCGCGCCCTCGTCTTCCCCCCGCGCGCGCGCGCTCGCGCGCGGGGCGAGAGAAGCGCGCGCCATGGCCGCGCGCATCCCCGGCCCCTTCCTGCAGCAGACGCCCATCGGGTTCCCGTCGTACTGCCGCCGGGCCAACCGTGACTGGGGCGCCAGGACCGCTGGTCTCTCTAGGCCTCCTCTAGATGGGGTCGGGGTCGAATGTTGTCGGATCGCTCCACACCGGCGATGCGTGCCTCGACTTTCTCCACGCCGACGTCGCCGATGCGTTGCCGACGTCGCTGGTGGATCGCTAGTGCATCGCCGATGCATCGCCGATGTATCGCCGATGCATCGGCGATGCGGCGCGATCCTCCGACCCCATCTACTCCGACCCCATCAAGGAGGCCTCTATGGGCACCGCAACCCGGGGCGGTCTTGGGCCGCACCAGTAACCCAGGACGCTGAGCAGGTCATACAGCCTCAGGCCTCCATGGCTTCTTGAAGAGAAAAGCGCGGAGGTCGTTCGTCCTGTTCGTCGCTACGGGCCCGTTTTTGGGCAGCGGAGCCATCAGGAACCGAGTCAACAGAAAACATTTGGACATCGGAGTTCTATGATTAGCATCTGCCCCAATGACGTTTCCGATTCCCCGACAGTTCCCGAGGGGCGCATTTATGTTGAAGAGCACCGCGCGAAACTAAGATCCTGGAAGTGTACTTCTGCACATGTCTTGGAGCACGACCTCTTGTCGCATGCACCGCATGCACACACAACGTGACGTGCCTGGAGTGGGGCTGGATCTGTGCACGCGAGGCCGCACGTCAGGCCACGTCAGCTCTCTACACTGGCACCTCGAGCGGAGCCTCTGCACGCTTCGCATGCCCGAGCCTCTGCGCCTAGAGCGGATCCCCTGCCTGCCCAAGCCTCGCCGCCCCAGACATTCTCCTCCTCCTCTCTCCTCCGCCCGCTCCTCCCCCTCCTCCCCCTCCTCCTCCTCCTCCTCCTCCTCCTCCTCCTCCTCCTCCTCCTCCTCCTCCTCCTCCTCCTCCTCCTCCTCATCCTCCGAGATTGATCCTCCTCCTCATCATCATCCTCCTCCTCCTTCTCCGCCTCCTCTTTGTTCTCCTCCTTTCTCCTCCTCCTTCCTCCTCATCCTCTCTCCTCCCTCCCTCCCCCCCCTCCCTCCCTCCCTCTCTCCCTCCCTCCCTCCCTCCCTCCTCCTCCTCCTCCTCCGCCTCCTCCTCCTCGTCCTCGTCCTCCTTCTCCTGCTCCTCCTCCTCCTCCTCCTCCTCCTCCTCCTCCTCCTCCTCCTCCCTTCCTCCTCCTGCTCCTGCCAGCCGGTTCCAAAAAGGGGGAGGCGGACATCCTCCGATCCGGCGCTGGTGGAAGAACATGCGCAAGAGGCTTCAGACACCGGAGGCTCCCAATGAGGAGTCGAGGAGGGTGGCGGTGATACCCATGACCTGTGGACGACGATCAATGGAGAGGAAGCATGTTGCCACATACTTCCCAGATGTCCAAAACATGTTTGAATCTAGAACATGTTCCAAACATTATTAAAGCATTTCCAGTTCAATGACAGAACTGTCAGGGCGTTGCCACATTCTTGCCAGATGTCTACAACATGGTTTGAACATTTCTTTAACATGCAACACCCAGGTGCTCGACACATTTCTAGAACATGCTTCACACATTCTGAAGACATTCTCACCTCAATGACAGAACGGGCAGAGGGTCTATGCGTCGTGGCATCCGCAGTCCATGGCCGATCTTCGACTGAAGTTCCACCAGCTCCCAGACCTGGTGTTTTCCTCGTCCAGCGGTCCCCGCAGGACTCTTGCGAAGAGTGCGCGGCCTCGCAGGTCCCGACAAGGCTTCCCCGGGGCCCGCGCTGGTCCGGGCCAGAGGAGGAGGAGGAGGAGGAGGAGGAGGAGGAGGAGGAGGAGGAGGAGGAGGAGGAGGGGGAGGTGGTGGAGGAGGAGGAGGAGGAGGAGGAGGCGGAGTAAGTGGAGGAGGAGTAGGAGGAGGAGGAGGAGGAGGAGGAGGAGGAGGGGAGGAGGATCGAGGATCGAGGATCGAGCATCGACGTCCTCTGAGGGTTCCTGGGGTTCAGGTGGCCCAGCGCTAATACCGGCCTGCAGAAGGGTGGGGCGGGGGCCTCTTTTCTACATCCTGAACCTCCTAATCTCCTGGGAGCTTCTGGCCGCCACGGCTTCACCGCGCGGCTTGAATCACTGGTTTGCTTGGAACCCAGGAGGGGTCTGGGGACCGATCTCGAGTAGATGTTGGCCTCATCCCCCCCTCTTGACCGATTTATTTCGGGGCCTGGCCCATTCGACGCAGACCCGCTGGCCGCCTCCGGGTCCCCGTGCACGGTAACTCAGGAGGGAAAAAAACACAGACACAATTAATCATCCATTCCTGGGAAAACATGGGAAAATATGGGAAGTGGGGGGGAACACAAAAACCCAGAAAATATACGAACATATGCGAAATCCTGTTATTTGTGTGTATTCATTCGTGTGTCCCAGGGCCTTTCAGTAACGGGGCCCCCGGGGCCCAAACCGATGCAACAGCGCCGGTGGAAACACAGCACACCTCGTGGCCGAAAAACTTCTCCGCGGACCCCCGACCTCACGGCCCGGGGCCCGGCCCCCCTTGGGGCCGTGACGCCGCGGATACGGGGCATTTTCAGTCGGGGCCCTGAAGACGGAACCCTTTTCGTTGGGGAGGGGCTCCGCGTTCCCTAAGTGTTTCGCAGCTTGCCTCGGATTTTCCTTATGTTTTCCATCGGAAATCGAGGTAGAACTTATGGGAAAGCGGGGCCTCGTTCCTTATTTCGGGCTCCTTAGGTTAACGCCCCGACTGTCTGCGCGGACGCCCCGCGCGGAGCGTCCCTGGGATCCGACGCAGCTAAAAAATTTACAGCCTCGTACGCAGTCACGCCCAGAGCCCCAGACCCCACCTTGCTGCGTCGTTCGTCGGGCTGGATCGATCTGTGAGGGTCCAAGGGCCTGAGAAAGAAGAGAACGCCCGGCGCGAAGACATTGAGTCGCCAGGGTCTCACGGGTACCCGTGCGACTGCGCATCCGCGGGCTCGCGCCCCCGAATCTAGGCCGCGAGGGCGAGGATACGGACATGTTCGCCGCGCTCGTGAATACCGTTAGGTCGGGCATGTCTACCTTTCAGGCGAACGCTGGACGAATGATTAATTACGCTACCGAGGAACCCCACATACTTAACTTGAATCTTGTGTGTGTTGCTTAAATTTGTAATATATGCGCAATTCTGCGTTCTCAGCCCTCGTCGCGAATGTTCCCCGATGTGTCTTCCAACGCCATATTGCTTGAACCTCCTCCCTCTTCCTAGCCTTCTATCCTCCGTCGAGGACAGATACGAGCCAGCCAGCGGCCGCGGTGAGGGACCACCCCCTGCGCACCCTCTATGGTGTCGAGAAAATGCCGCGCCTGCTATGCCCTGGACGACCGTCGTGAAAAGCAGCCGCGGTGAGGGACCACCCCCTGCGCACCCCCTATGACGTCGAGAAAGTGCCACGCCTGCTATGCGACGACCGTCGCGCATAGCGGCCGCGCTGAGGGACCACCCTCTGCGCACCTCCTGTGGTGTCGAGAAAGTGCCACTCCTGCCACGATCTGCGAGCGTGTCACGGATAGAGGCCGCGCTGAGGGACCACCCTCTGCGCACCCCCTGTGGCGTCGAGAAAGTGCCACTCCTGCCACGATCTGCGAGCGTGTCACGGATAGAGGCCGCGCTGAGGGACCACCCTCTGCGCACCCCCTGTGGTGTCGAGCAAGTGCCACTCCTGCCACGATCTGCGAGCGTGTCACGGATAGAGGCCGCGCTGAGGGACCACCCTCTGCGCACCCCCTGTGGTGTCGAGAAAGTGCCACTCCTGCCACGATCTGCGAGCGTGTCACGGATAGAGGCCGCGCTGAGGACCACCCTCTGCGCACCCCCTGTGGTGTCGAGAAAGTGCCATTCCTGCCACGATCTGCGAGCGTGTCACGGATAGAGGCCGCGCTGAGGGACCACCCTCTGCGCACCCCCTGTGGTGTCGAGAAAGTGCCACTCCTGCCACGATCTGCGAGCGTGTCACGGATAGAGGCCGCGCTGAGGGACCACCCTCTGCGCACCCCCTGTGGCGTCGAGAAAGTGCCACTCCTGCCTATTCCTGCCCTCGATCTGCCAAGCGCGTCATGGATAGAGGCTTCCCCGCTGAAGGGACCACCCTCTGCGCACCCCTGTGGTGTCTTTGACGAGGAAGTTTGCCAATCCTGCCACGATTTCTGCGAGGCGTGTACGGATAGAGGCCGCGCTGAGGGACCACCCTCTGCGCACCCCTTGTGGTGTCGAGAAAGTGCCACTCCTGCCACGATCTGCGAGCGTGTCACGGAGAGAGGCCGCGCTGAGGGGCCACCCTCTGCGCACCCCCTGTGGTGTCGAGAAAGTGCAACTCCTGCCACGATCTGCGAGCGTGTCACGGATAGAGGCCGCGCTGAGGGACCACCCTCTGCGCACCCCCTATGGTGTCGAGAAAGTGCCGTTCCTGCCCGATCTTGCGTGTCGTGTCCCGGATAGCGCGGGGCGTGAGGTGACCCAACCACCTCGGTGAACTCCCTGTGGTGTCGAGCATGTGCATCTCCTGCCACGATCGGCCGAGCGTGTCACGGATAGAGGCGCGCTGAGGACCACCCTCTGCGCACCCCCTGAGGTGTCGAGGAAAGTTGCACTCCTGCCCGATCTGCGAAGAGTCACGGACAGAGGCCGCGCTGAGGGACCACCCTTGCGCACCCCATGTGGGTTCGGAGAAAGTGCCACTCTGCCACGTTTGCGAGGTGTCACGGATAGAGGCCGCGTGAGGGACCACCTTGCGCACCCCCTGTGGTGTCTGAGAACGTGCCCACTCCTGCCACGATCTGCGAGCGTGTCACGGATAGAGGCCGCGCTGAGGGCCACCCTCTGCGCACCCCCTGTGGTGTCGAGAAAGTGCCACTCCTGCCACGATCTGCGAGCGTGTCACGGATAGAGGCCGCACTGAGGGACCACCCTCTGCGCACCCCCTGTGGTGTCGAGAAGTGCCACTCCTGCCACGATCTGCGAGCGTGTCACGGATAGAGGCCCCGCTGAGGGACCACCCTCTGCGCACCCCCTCTGGTGTCGAGAAAGTGCCGCTCCTACCACGATCTGCGAGCGCGTCACGGATAGAGGCCGCGCTGAGGGACCACCCTCTGCGCACCCCCTGTGGTGTCGAGAGAATGCCATTCCTGCCACGATCTGCGAGCGTGTCACGGATAGAGGCCCCGCTGAGGGACCACCCTCTGCGCACCCCCTCTGGTGTCGAGAAAGTGCCGCTCCTACCACGATCTGCGAGCGCGTCACGGATAGAGGTTGCGCTGAGGGACCACCCTCTGCGCACTCTCTGTGGTGTGGTGGTGTGTGGTGTGGCGTGGTGTGGTGTGGTGCGATGTGGCGTGGTGTGGTGTGGTGTGTGTACGAGCGAGAAGGAGGAGGTGAGGTGGGAACGCAGGTGTGACGCGGGTGTAGAGAAGGGGAGGTGAGTGAACGCGGGTGCGACCCGGGTGTAGAGAAAATCAGAACCCCACTTAGAATGTGGGGAAAATACACCAAACAGACCCCAACCATACGCAGCAATTGTCAACACACAAATACGAAAGAAATCGCCTCCAGACTATAGTCTGACTTCTTGAATATTCCCCCTGTGGAGGGACAGGCCCGACTCAAGAATACCCTTTATGTCGGGCGTGTCCCCCTACAGGGAGATTTTCGACGAAAAATGGAAAATACTTCCAAAATGCCCCCAAAAGGCAAAAACTAATTCAAGAAGCAGTCCCCAGAGTATTTTTGGAATCTAGTTTTATTATTTTTGGGGTATTTGTGGATGTGTCATCGAAAATCCCCCTGTAGGGAGACAGCCCCGACTCAAGCATACCTCTGGAGCCCTGGGCCTCGCCTCTTGGCCTCCTCGCCCGCCGCCGCTCGCCGCGCCCTCGGCCACCTCCTGCACGGCTGCCCTCGGCCAGTCCGCCCTCGGCCTACGATCGGCGGCGACGGGCGGGCGGGCCTCCTCCTCCTCCTCCTCCTCTCCTCCTCCTCCTCCTCCTCCTCCTCCTCCTCCTCCTCCTCCTCCTCCTCCTCCTCCGCCAACTCCATGTGCTCCAGCCCCCGTGTGAGGCTGGAGCACATGGAGTTGGGCGTGTCGCGCCGCGTCGCCGATGCATCGGCGATGTTCGAAGACGAAGAAGAAAAATAATGATAATACTGATAAGAAGAAGAATAAGAAGAAGGAACGCCACCAACAACAACAAACAACAAACAACTAACAACACACAACAAACAACACACAGCACACAACACACAACACACAACAAACAACAACAGCAACAACAACAACAACAACACTGACAACACCAACACCAACCACAACAACAACAACAATACCAACAACAACAACACTGACAACACCAACACCAACCACAACAACAACAACAACAACTACAACAACCACCCCAACATCAACAACAACAACAGTGACAACACCAACAACAACAGCAACGACAATAACAAACAACACACACAACAAACAACAAACATCACCAACGGCAACAGCAGCAACAGCAACATCAACACCAACAACAGCACACACCACCACCACCAACAACAACAGCAGCAGCAGCAACATCAACAACAACAACACCAACAACAACAACAGCAACAACAGCAACACCATCATCTCCAACAGCAAACAACAACACACATCAACAAACAACCAACAACAAACAACACACATCACCAACACCATACAACAAACACCACCACCAACAACAATACTATCAACAGCAACAGCAGCAACAACAACATACGAAACATAAACTGTCGGAGCTCCGCGCGAATTTCGCGGGTCGGCGCTGGGGCCCCGTGGCCGCGCCTCCAGCGCCGCCCCCCGCGCGCCCCGCGCGCCAGGGAGGGGCCCCGCACCGATCCAAGAAGTCCGCGCCGAGCTCCGAAAGTGTATCGTTATGCGTTTGTTAATGTTTTTGTTGTTGATTGTTTCAGGAGGGGGAGAAACACACAGGCACAAGTAGGCGTCGACTCCCAGGAGAAGATAGAGGAACACACGGAAAGTGGGGGGGAGGAAGACGAGAGCCCAGAACAGACGGGAACGTGTGGGGAATTTGGGGATCTGTGTCTATCTATATGCGTGCCCCTTGGGCCCCCAGGTCACCCCCAGGAGCCCGAGGGCCTCGGCCTCCTCGTTTTCCTCCTCCTCTCCTCCTCCTCCTCCTCCTCCTCCTCCTCCTCCCTCTCCCCCTCCTCCTCCTCCTCCTCCTCCTCCTCCTCCTCCTCCTCCTCCTCCTCCTCCTCCTCCTCCTCTCCAACCCGACGTCGCCGACGTATCGTCGGCGGTGCGGTGCGACCCTCGGGCCCCCATATGCTTTGGCAACCTGGGCGTCCATCGGGCGGGACCAAGGCGCTCGGGTTGCCACCAGGGCCCGTCCCCAGGCGTGCGTCGGAGGGCATGGGCCTCTACGACGGGCGACCTGGTTATCTGTGCAGGGTCGGAACAGGGCCTGCGCCACGCGCACAGATGACCTCGGTTCCCTTCCCCCTTTTCCCCGTCCCCTTCCGCCTCACCGCCTCACCCGCCTCCTCCTTTTCCTTCTGCCCTCTCCTCCCTCCTGGCCCGCCTCCACCCCTCCTCCGCCTGCCCCCCTCCGTCCTCCGTGGTCCATGCCGATCTCCTCCCCTCCTGCTTCCTAGTCCTCCGTGCTCGTATTGATAGGCATGCCGTAAGCCCGCTGGTTGTCCTTTCCTTGCCCCTTCGGGCAGAGCCGAGGAAGCTGTTCCAGAAAAGCGAGGTGAACACCAGGATCTACAAGGCGATCTACGAGAACATCGGGGTGCGAGGAACGGCAAGCCCACGCCTCCTCGGCAATTGACAAGAGAAGCACGTGCCACCTCCCCCCCCTGCCTGAGCAGAGCGTCGTGCGTGGATTCAACTTCAATCGTTGGAAGAAGAAGCACGCGCCATCTATTTGATATTGTGTTCGGCTCCTTCCCCAGGGTAGGTGTTGCGTCCAAGATGGTGCGCTGATGGTCCCAGGGCCCGAGAGCAGACCTTGGATCGAGGGCCCTGGGACCATCAACAAACCATCTTGGATGGAACACCAACCCTGCTGTGCCACCGCCTTCTTCTCCTCCTCCTCCTCCTTCTCCTCCTCCTCCTCCTTCTCTGCTTCGTCCTCCTCCTCCTCCACCTCCTCCTCCTCCTCCCACTTCTCCCCCAGGTCCCAGGAACTCCCGAGCGACGGGCAGAAAGCGGGGCCGCCTTCACCGACGTGGGCGTGCAAGCTGCCTGCATATAGGGTCCCCCTTGGGCGCCCTTGTTCCCAATCTGGTGTGCCGCGCTGGCGGCCAGCGTACAGCCGGGGCGCTGAAGAAAGAACCCTTTCGTCAGGGAGGGGCTCGGTGTTCCTTAATTGTTTCAAAGTTTGCATCGGGTTTTCCTGGGGTTTTCCATCGGAAATCGAGGTTGCACTTATGGGAACAGGGGGCCTCGTTCCTTATTTAGGGTTCCTTAGGTCAACGCCCCGACTGTAAGCCACCGCGTAATTCGGGGCTCAGGAGAGGGGAGTCCATGCGAACGGGGGCCCGTCAGAGCGACGGATCTTGCAGGGTCCTGCAGGGCCAGGGGTGCATTGACCCAGGCTTGGGTGCAGGATCCTGCAGGTCTTGCAGGATCCTGCAGGGCCTGAGTGATCCAGGTTTCGATCGATCTGGCTCAGGAGATCCCCGAATTATGTCGCTGTGCCAACTCGCGTAAGACCCTTTTTTGTTTTCGTCGCTCACGTTGGGTTGTGCCCAATATGCCGTCGAAGTCCTGGGAACGACGAAGGAGGGAGGAGGGAGGAGAGAGTAGGGGGGAGCTGGAGGAGGATGATGAGGATGAGGAGGAGGAGGAGGAGGAGGAGGGGGAGGAGAAGAGGAGAGGAGGAGGAGGAGGAGGAGGAGGATAAGGAGAAAGAGGGGGAGGAGGGGGACGAGGAGGAGGAGGAGGAGAAGTTGGAGGAGGAGGAGGAGGAGGCGGGAGGAGGGGGTGAGGGTGAGGGGAGGGGAGGAGGAGGAGGAGGAGGAGGAGGAGGAGGAGGAGAAGGAGGAGGAGGAGGAGGAGGAGATGGAATGGGAGGAGCAGGAGGAGGAGGCGGGAGGGAGGAGGAGGGAAAGGGAAAGGGAAGGATGAGGGGAGGCCATGAGCTGCCAGGAGCCGGGAGGGCAGGGCCACGGGGAGGGCCCGCCCTCCCTGGGAGCTGCCAAGCGCGCGACTGTCGCAGCTCCGCTGCGCACCCGAGGGGCCCAGCGGGGGTGGTGACACGCGCGGATCCAGAAGAGATGTCCCCTCCTCCTTGGGCGGTGCCAGCCGCGCAGCTGCCGCCGCTCTGCCGCGCCCCTTGGGGGTCGGGCAGGGCGGCAACTCACGCAGATCCCATCTGCGATGGTCGCTTTCTCCGGGCGCTGTCATTCGCGCAACTATCGCCGCTTTGATGAGCTCGGGCGGTCGAGCAGGGCAGTGGCACACGCCGATCCCAAGGAGGCATCGCCCTCGCTTGCGCCCCTGGGGGATCCAGCGGCGCGGTGACACGGGTAGATCCGCACGAGACCTCGGCTTCTCTGGGCGCTGCCAGGCGCGCAACTGTCGCCGCTTTGCTGCGCCCCTGGGCGTCCCTGGCGGGGTGGGTGGAGTCGCCAGGAGGAGGAGGAGGGAGGAGGATGGAGGAGGAGGGAGGGGGAGGAGGAGGAGAGAGGAGGAGGGAGGAGGAGGGAGGAGGGGAGGCCAGAAGCGGCCATGAGCCGGGAGGGCAGGGGAGGGGAGGGCCACGGGGAGAGCACGCCCTCCCTGGGAGCCGCCAAGCGCGCGACTGTCGCCGCTTTGCTGCGCACCCGACCCAGACATCTGGCCTCTCCAAGCTTTTCGATGCGTTGGGAGCCCTCGGAGGCTTGTTGGGGGTCACGGGGCCCTGTAGGTCCCTCTTGGGGCCTCGTTGGGGCCGCCTTGGGGCCCTGAGGACGAACTCTTGGAGCCTTCTTGGGCTCCCTGAGCCCGGCTTGGTGCCCTCTCGCGCCGTCTTGGGGTCCTCTTGTTCGGCCCGAGTAAGATTTCGACGGTCCCGAGGGGGCGGCGCGATGGCGCGACGATGCTCGGTCATGGCGGGGCGCGATGCGCGAAGCTGTAGGTACGTCGGGCAGGTCCCTCTACAGCAGGACCATGCAAGAGTGGTTGAAAAATAGTCTGGTGCCAATGTTCGCCGTGCTCTTTCGACTATTTCCGACTATGTGTTGGCTGTCTGTTTCACACAATTCTTCGAACATCCGCCTGTAGGTGCTCGCTCATGGCGGGGTGGGGTCGCTCATACTATGTGTTCGTCGCCCCTATCAGGGGCGACGCGCGCACCAAGAAATCTTATAGTAAGTGCGTCGTGGCGGGCGCCTTCTGGCCACACCGCTCGAGAAACGATACACTACAAGATGGGCATGCTATGTGTTCGGGTCCGACGCGCGCCTCCGAGGAGGACCTATAGTGTAAGTAGGTCTCTGTGCGTCGCATGAAGGGATGGAGAAGGAGGAGGAGGAGGAGGAGGAGGAGGAGGAGGAGGAGGAGGAGGAGGAGGAGGAGGAGGAGGAGGAGGAGGAGGAGGAGGAGGAGGAGGAGGAGGAGGAGGAGGAGGAGGAGGAGGGAGGAGGAGGAGGGAGGGGGGAGGAGGAGGAGGGAGGAGGGAGGAGGAGGAGAAGGAGGAGGAGGGAGGAGGAGGAGGAGGAGGAGGAGGAGGAGGAGGAGGAGGAGGAGGAGGAGGGATGGAGAGAGGGGGGCACGAACCATCTGCGGCGTGCAGCTGGTCTTGGCCCCGCCGCTGGGCGCGCGTTTCTCTCCTCCACGCCACGGGCGCCGCGCGGCGCCCGGAAGAGCAGCCGCGCGTGATCTGATTCCCGGGCCGGACGAAAGGGGGGGACAGGGAATCGGGAGCCCAGAGACGGGGGTCAATGCAAACGGGGGTCAGCCAGAGCGCCCGATCTTGCAGGATCCTGCAGGGCCAGGGGTGCACTGACCCGGGTTTGGGCGCAGGATCCTGCAGGATTTTCCCGGGCCGGACGAAAGGGGGGACATGGATCTGGACGCCCGAAATGGGTACTGAAAGAATGGGTACCATGCCGAACAGCAGTTCCTGTTCATTCTGAACAGGATTCGCTGTCCGCGCCGCCGCGGCCCGTGTCCATTCGAGACAGGAGGCCGCCCGCCCAACAGCGGCCGCTGTTGGTTTGGGACAACATTTGTTGTTGGGCATAGTGCCCATTCTTTCGGTACCCATTTCGGGTGTCCAAAAGGGAAAGTCGGGGGCGGCAAACAGAGGGGTGATGACTAGGGGGGGTGGATATCATGGCGGGGGCCATGCTATTTCCCCAGATTCCATGGCGCCTCTTCTTATTTCATGACGTCCCTGGCCCCCCCGCTGGGCCGCGCATATGCCGCCGGTCATGATTTGCACCCCCCCCTCTTGGACACCCCCCTCTTGGCCGCTCCCGAGGAAGGGGGGGTTACGACATTTGCTGCATGCAGCTGGTTTCGGCCCCACCGAGGGGCCCATTCCTCGATACATGGCCGCCTGCGGCGCTGGGAGGCGCTGGGAAAATCAGCTACGTGAGCTGATTCTCAAAACCCCCCTTTGCTATCCCCCCCTTTCGCCCAACCCGAGATTCACCAACCCACCTCAACTCGGGACGATCGAAACTCACCGCCCTCCAAACCACCCCAACCCAACACGAAGGCCCCGATGTGCCGTCCATTTCCAGTGGGGGGCGTCGGGGAACATCGAGCAAAACAGATGTGAACCCCGTAATTACCCCCCCAATCCGAAATTCGAGTCTTCGGGTTGGGTTGGGGTGGTCTGGCAGGTAGTGAGAAAAATGGGCAGGGGAATCACGGATACAGAGACCGACAGCAGTTCCTGTTCCTTTCAAACAGGATGCGTTGTCAGCGTCGCCGCGGGCCTTGTCCATTTGAGACGGAAGGCCGCCTGCCACACAGCGGCCGCTGTTGGTTTCGGACAATTTGTTGTTGGGCATTATGCCCATTTTTCCCGTACCGAGCGTCCAAAACTACGCACGTCCCCTTTTCGTCCGATCCGGTGCCCGCGAGGAGGCATACCCGTGAACAAGTACGTGGGGCGCAATCGGATCCGCATGCGCGGCATCACCGAGGGCTACCCCCGCGGCAACTACCGGTGGACGCACATGAACAAGCACGGGTTCAGCCAGATCTACCGCGAGGGGTGGCTCATCAAGTACGGGCTCGATCCCGACCGCTTCCACTGAGCGAGGCTGCCGCGCGCCAGGTGCGGGACGGCCGCGCTGCACCCGCCATCTGTTTCCCAGATCTCCTCGATATGATTGTTTCAGCCCGGGTGTTGTTCCACGATTTCGGTTCGGGAGCCTCGAGACGGGGGTCAATGCAAACGGGGGTCAGCCAGGGCACCGGATCCTGCAGGATCCTGCGAAGACCCCCTCTGGCTGACCCGGGTTAGCGAGCCGTTCGTGGCCGCGAGGCGGCCGCGCATATTGGCTGACCCGGGTTTGCGAAGACCTGCGTTGCAGTTTTTGGTTTCCTGCTGACCAGTTGTTGGTTTCCTGCTGACCCGGGTCTGGATTGACCCGGGTCAGAAGATCCCCGATCGGTCATCGTGGGCAGTGCTCGGGCCCCAGGTCCTGCACACATGGATCCGTGACGCAACCTGGCCTCTGGGGAAGCCGTCGGGGCCTCTGGGGCAGCGGTCTGGAGAAGCATATCGGCGGAGGTCTGGGTCTTGAGGCCCGAGTAGGGTCTCGGATGCTGCGTGGCGCTGGACGAGTCGTCTGGCAGTGGAGCTGATAGCTATAGTCCTGCCTCCTCGTTTCGTCCCGCTCATATCCATCGCTGTTGCCAACGGTTCGCGCGCCATGATTTTTCTATGCGCACATGCGCGCTGCAAGTTACAGATACACGCACGCATGTGCGTAGAACGTAGACGCTCCTACCAAAACATCGTGGGTACCAGCACGCATGACGTAGCCTCTGGCGATCGAATGCGCGCATCCGCCATCCCCCCAAGCGTGCAGGTGTCGTGGCTGCTCTGCGTGGGAGTTGGATCGGCGTGCTGCTGCAGCGCTTTCTCTGGCGCTCGGCCCTGGCGCGGACGGGTGCGCCAACCCACCGCGCGCGGGCGCTGGTGGGACCATCGGCCGATGGCGACCATGCTGGGGATGTTGTGTGTGGACAGGGGCCGCGCTGAGGGACCCACCCCCCTGGGCCCCCCTTCTGGTGTCCACGAACTGCCACGCCGGCCACGACTTGCAGGGATGCGACGCATAGCGCCCCCACCCTTGTGCGCACCCCCTCTGGTGTCCAACCTTACGCCTGCCGCGTTTTGGTGAGCGTGCGACGGGTCGCGCCCCCCCACCCCCTGCGCACCCCTCTGGTGTCCAGGAGGTGACGCGCCTGCCACGCTGTGCGGGCGTACGACGGGCAGCGCTCCCATTCCCTTGCGCACCCCCTGTGGTGTCGAGAAGGTGCCACGCCAGCCACGCCCTGCGAATCCTACACGCGGATGTTGTGTGGTGCGCAGTTCATGTGAGTGGCTAGGTCTGCGTCTGCGTGTCTTGTGTATGTGTATGCTTTGTGTGTACGAGCGAGGCGGAGGATGAGGCTGGTGTGGGAGACGCGTGTGCGACGCGGGAGAGGTAACACCATAACCCAACTAAGCACGTGACGAATAGCATGAATTCATCTCTGGGCATGGGTCGGCTCTGAGCGAGGGGGGAGATGAGAAGTGAAATGCCCTGTCAGAAGGCGGCGGAACTTCTCACAAACCCTCGCTGCTTCTGGGAGGACTTCTGTGTCCCCCCCTCGCTCGCCGCCGAATGGAGGACAGCATCCTGGGCCCTCCTTCTTCTCATCCTCCCGTGTCGCTTCGCGGCTGTGCGGGGTCCGACTCTGATTCCAATTCCTCCTGCAGTTCCTGTCGCTCCTCCTCCCTCTTACTTGCCGTGCCTTGTCCTGTCTCGGCGCGCTCGGATCTCCTCGAGTTGGCGTGCCTCCTCTCTCTTACGACCTCCTCCCAGGAAGAGCACCTCCTCCTCCTCCTCCTCCTCCTCCTCCTCCTCCTCCTCCGATTCCTCCTACAGTTCCTGTCGCTCCTCCTCCTCCCTCTTACGACCTCCTCCCAGGAAGAGCACCTGGAGTACCTGTCCCGGGAGCTGCACGGCCGGCAGTGCGTGAAGACGGACATCGGGGTCGCGACCCCAGTGCGCTGCCGGGCAGCTGGAACGGCTCGGCCTGCCTGCATCTTCCCACAACAATTGGATATGCTTGCTTCTCTCCCTGCTCCCTGGTTAGGGGGCCACATGCGAACCCTACCCCTACCTCCCCCGATTTCTGAGGGGGGGTGTTCACTTCGCTCGGGAGCTCCCGAACGAAGTGAACCCCACCCTCCCCCTCAGAAATCGTGGGGGGTAGCGGTATGTTTCGCATGTGGTCCCCTACTGGTACTGTCTTTATTTTCGTCCGCCTATCCTGCAGAGTGTTTTCTATCCAGGGAGGTGCCAAGGTGGTTTTCGAAACGTGCAGTTCCAATCACAGCGTTCGCAGCTTGTCAAGCGCGGTATTCCTGCTCCAGCGCTTGCAGTGGTCAGAATTGGTATCCAGTAAGCCTCCGTCCAGTGGAGCGACGTTCTTGCCGTAGGTCTGGCCGTATTCATCTGTGTGCAAGTGAGGGCGGTGCTCTGCTGCAGGGCTTTTAGGGTTTGTCACATGGACGGGCTCCCGTTGTTTCACCGTCCACTGGACAAGCGCTCTTGTCACAGCGGTGGCCGTATGCCTTCATGAGCGACATTGGTGTTCCCCGTTGTTTTACCTTCCACTGGACAAGCGCTCTCGTCACAGCGGTGGCCGTATGCCTTCATGAGCAACATTGGTGTTCCCATTGCAGCGTGTGCAAGGGTCTCCATGGACCCTCCGTCCAACATAACGGCGCTTTCGCCCGAGATGTTACATAGTATTGCAGCAGCAGAAACAGCGCTCCGTTTGCAGCGTGTGCCACATGCAAGAATACCCATCAAGCATCCGTTCACCGGAACGACGCTCTCGCCGCGGCGTCTCCTCATCCCCCCCCCTCCCCCTCTCCGCCTCTTTCAGGTCCTCCCAGCTCTTGGCTCCCAAGTGTTGAGGTCCTCTTCGGTCAGGCAGCCATTCAGGGATCAGGGTCTTTTCCGACACCCGACTTTGCGATGAGGCAGGGGTTCAGCGCAATTGAAGGGGATGGGAGGGAGGGGTAGGACGTCAGAGATGGCGCGTGCGCGCCGACTCTGGGTTTCTTAATACGCGTGGGGGGTTCTCCCCCCAACGGGGGTCAACCTCGCCTCGTCGTCGCGCCGCGACGGGGGAAGGAGCGCCTTCGGTGTGCGGTGGCTGCCGCGACGGGGGTCGATGTGGGGTTTGTCGGCGGGGGTGACGCTCCCCCGAAGCTTATTAAGAGACTCGGAGTAGCTTGATTCCCCCCTCGCCATCCCCAGACTCCAGACAGGCCGAATTGTGCAATCCTGAGTTTTTTTTCCTCAGCTCCGGCCTCTTAGATGGGGCCGTTTTCGGGTGAACTGCAGTCCTGGGCCCGTGAGAGAAGTGGATCCGGGACGCTTGCCAACCCCGAGGAAGGGGTGTCGAGACATGTGGGGCCCGCGGAATGACAATCACAATTCACCAGATGTCTGGGTTTTTTTCTCTCTCTCTCTCTCTCTCTCACTCTGCCTCCTTCCCTCTTTCCCCCTCTGTCTCTCACCCGTTAGCTCTCCCCCCCTCGCCTTCCTCCTCCTCCTCCTCCTCCTCCTCCTCCTCGTGTTCATGGGCGCGGATCGAAACTGCCTCTTTGAGCCAACTTAGAAGCCACTCAGAAGGCCACCCATTGGCGCGGAGGGAAGGCCACTCAGAAGCCAACTTTTGCGCGGTGGGTTGACCATCGGATTTGGGCCCCTAGAGTCGTTATGTCTATTCTTATCCTCATTGACCTTCCTCGAACGCCTCCAGGATCCAGGTTTGCAGCGCATGGTTGATTCTTTCTGGGGCTTCTAAAGGCTTCCAGACACTTGCATCTTCTCGTCCTCAGCATCGTCTTGCCCATCCTCCTTTCTCTCTCTCTCTCTTTTTCCCTGTCGCATCCGATATTCCTCAAACTTTGTGTTTCTTTCCTTCTCTCTCTATATATATAGGTAGATATGCACATACATCAGCCGCATGTTCGCACGCTGGCATACATTGGACATATGTACCATGTCATGCAATTGTGCAGTTGTATATTTGTTTTCCTCGTGGTGATTCTGTTTGCCCCGCTGACTCTCTCCCTCACTCTGTCTCTCCAACAACATAGTTGTATGTATGTGTTGTCTGTTTCTCTCTCTCTCTATATATTGTTTTTGTTTCTCTCTCTCTCTCTCCGTCTCTTGCCGCAACACACCCATATATAAAAATGTTGGCCGCCGTGGACTCCAACCAGTGACTTCTTTGCAATAGTTTCGGTGCAACCTAGATGGTGCAATCGCTGTGGTGCAATCTCGGTGGTGCAATCCATGTGGCGCAAGCCATGCAAAGCGACGCAACGCAAGTCGACTGAAGGCAGTTCAAAGCAGTGCAAGTTGACGGAACGCAGCATTGCACAGCAATGCAAAGCAATGCAAGTCAATGCACAGCGAAGTAATTCAAGGCAATGGAAAGCAGTGCGGTTTCAATGCGATTGCGTAATTCGATTCAACTCACAGCAATGCGAAGCAGCGTAATGAAACATTGCGCAAAGACATTCAAAGCAATGCGAAGCAATGCAGAGCAATACCGAGCAAAGCAAATCAATGCAAACCACTGCAAGGCAGTTCTAAGCATTGGAGAGCACTGCAAAGCAATTCAAAGCTCTTCAGAGCAATGCAGTGCGATGCAATACAATACAAAGCAGTGCAAAGCAATGCAATTACGTACAACGCAAGATGTCGATCAGTGCAATGCAATGTTGCTGCAACGCAGTGCCACTGTAATGCAACATCGCAACGCAATGCCAAGAAGCACAAAACACTGCAGAGCAATGCAATGCAGAGCAATGCAAGGCAATGCTGCCAAGCAGTGCACAGCGATGCGAAGCAATGCGAAGCCATGCCCAGCAATACAGAGCGGGTGGCGACGAGGCGACGGGCGGCGACGAGGCAGCGACGGCGGCGACATGGCGGCCAGATCGGCCCGCACGCCCTGGCGATGAGGCGGCGACGGCGGCCACATGGCGGCCAGACCGCCGCGCAGGCCCGGGCGACGGGCGGTGACGGCGGCCACATGGCTGCCAGACCGGCGCGCAGGCCCAGCCCGGAGAAAACATCAAGAATCTCAAGTGCAAGCACTGTTGGGGATTATACCAACACGCATACGTGCATACATACACGCATGCGCATACCGTTTGTATATGGATATATGTGTATGTGTGTGTGTGTGTGTCCGAGTGCATGTCTGTTTGCACATGTGCGTGAACACATACCCACCGCATCATCTAATGTCAGGTATGCTGGATCTACCGATGCCTCCGAACATGCTCGGTAGAACCATCCTGCGGCCGTCTAGGAAGACTACGGTACTACCTTGCCGCCGCCATCCTATAGCATGATGATTGTCGCATTGCGTGTCGGGCGTCCCGAGAGGCTCATTCGAGGCTCATCAGGGGGCTGATTTGAGGCATGTTTGGGGCCTGTCGGGGCCTTCTCGAGGGCCTCTTGGGGGGTGGTTGGAGGCCTGCTGGGAGCTGGTTCGAGCTCCTGGGACCGTGAAGGGCGCGATGGATGATGGCCCTCCCGAGCCCTCCCGAAGGGTCTCTGCTGGACCATGTTGGTGCCGCCTTGGCGTGTGAGGGAGCCGTCTTGGAGCTAGCTGGAGGCGTTCTTCGCAACGAGGGGTTGCGTGGAGTCGCCTCGGTTTCAAGTCGGACCTCGCTGAAGCTTTGTGGAGGTCGTGTGAAGCTCTTGCAGGCCAAACGTTATGGACTCCAATACGTGTCTGCATGCTTTTCGGCCTCCGAGGGCCTCGCAGGAGGCCTCTCGGGGCTTGGGGGGCACACTGGGGCCCTTGTGTGTGTGCGTGTGCGGGGGAGGGGGGTGGCGTCTTGTCGGCTGTCGAAGCCGTCAAAGGGGCATATTTCGGCGATGCTGGTTCGGTTCAGAGGTGGTCGGTTTTCGGGTGGAGACGGGCGCGCTGAGGAGGCACCCTGACACGCCACCGCGTGTCGAAGGCGCGGCGGCGGACGACGGGAAGCTCGCTGAGACCCACTGGGCCTCGTGGTTCGACTCCGCTCCTTGCTCCGATGGGGTCACACATTATACCAGAGGGGAGGTACAGGAGTCCAGGCCGCTCAATAGAGCCAGAGTAGATGGGGTCGGAGATTTGCACACCATGGCCGATGCGTCGGCGATGCGGGGCACGATGTTCTACCCACCGACGTCGCCGGCGGATCGCCGATGCGTCGGTGATGTTGTCAGATGGAGCTCCGGGTCGCTCCATGCTCGGATACCTTGCGAACTTCTCGGATGGCCTCATGCGTGGAGCTCCGGGTCGCTCCATGCTCGGATACCGCTCAAAGACCTCGGCAGCCACGGTGCGGTGTCGCCGGCCGGGCTCGTCAGAGCGAGGGTGCCCGCGAGGGCGCTTCGCGGTTTGCGGCCTGCGTCCCTGCTCCTCGTTCCCCGTCCTGGTGGTCACCCCCTTCCTCTGGGCATCGCTCGGACGTGTGCATTTTTCCTTCGGCGAGGGCCATCGAGGAGCATCCTTCATCATTTCGCGAAAAAAACCACGCACGGAACCGAACAAAGCACAGGGAATGGACGTCCGAGCGATGGCCAGTTCCTCTGGGCCCCCAGAGGGGGAGGCGGCGGAGGCGGCGCGAGTGCGCGACATTCTCGGCGCCTCTCGCAGAGCGAAGCGCGCGCGAACTTAGGCGCCCTTGCGTCGGCCGGGCCTCCGGCGGTCGTCCGGGAAGATCCGGGCCCCCCCTGGGAACGCTCTCGGCGAGGCGCAGCTGCTGGAGAGCACCCCGAAGATGGCAACCTGCCCAGATGCTGCGAAAGCGGCTGGAAACCCAGCGGGATGCTTCGATGGCCCCCCCGAAGTCGCGATTCTGTTCGCTGCGTCGACCCCCAGAGGCCTAGTAGACCCATTCCTCGGGAGCGGCTCTTCAGCCCTCGCGCCGCTCTTCCATGGTCCCGGGCCCGGCGAGGTCCCCCGGAGGCCGACCTCGGCCCCAAACCCACCCGTTGCAATTCTTGTCAAGGCCCGAGCGGGTCCGGGATCGCCCCCCGCAGGAAGACCGCGCCGCCGGCCGCCATTCGGCCACGCGCGGAAGGGGGGTGGGGGGAGGGGGGAGGGCTTCTCAGAAGGACCCCCGCTTCTCAGAAGGCGCGGGCCTCATCCATAGTTGTAAGGCCGGCGCCTTCTGAGAAGCAGGCAACCTTCTAAGAAGCCCTCCCCCCTCCCCCTACAGTCGGGGCCCTGAAGAAGGAACCCTTTTCGTTGGGGAGGGGCTCCGTGTTCCTTAATTGTTTCGCAGCTTGCCTTGGATTTTCTTTAGGGCTTCGATACGAAATCGAAGTTCAACTTATGGAAAAAGGGGTCTCGTTCCTTATTTATAGGGTTCCTTAGGTCAACGCCCCGACTGTACCCCCTTGTGCGCGCCGCCGGCCGCCATGGGCGCGTCGCCCTCGGCGCCCAGCCCGGAGCGGGCCGCGAGCCTGCGCGGCGGCGTCGAGGCCGCGTGCGCCCGGGCGGCGCGCAGCATCGGCGAGGCCGACGTGCTCCTGCTGTGCACGGGCGCGGGGTTCTCCGCGGACGGCAGGGGGCGACGTTCACGGGCGGACAGGCTCCCCACCCAGAGCCCCTCGAGGAATGGCAGAAGTCACGACGGGAGGTTTTTCGCAATTTTCGGCCTCTTGGGGCCCTTAGGGGGCCTCGGGGCCGCCAAACAACGACTCGGAGTGAAAACCTGGTCCTGCGGACTGGTCGAAACCTCTGGGGGTCGGCGTCATGAAAAAATCCTGACGTCGGGGGTCTAGGAAGGAGGCTTGTAATGTGGTTGGAGGTTCTCCATACGTAGTGTCTTCGTTGGCTCTTGGCGGTTTTCCAGCCTCGGGATGCTCTCCAGCAACTGCGCCTCGCCGAGAGCGTTCCCGGGGGGCCCGGATCTTCCCGAGCGGCTGCCGGAGGGCCGAGCTGTGGCTCGGAAGCCAAGGGACAACGTTAGGGTTAAGTCGGGCCTGTCCCCCTACAGGGAGATTTTCGACGAAAAATAAAAATACCAAACAAATACCCCAAAAAGGTAAAACTCAACAAATAGTCCCCAGACTATTTTTTGAGCATTTTTTGATTATCTTTGGGGTATGTTTAATTTTTCGTCGAAAATCCCCCTGTAGGGGGACACGCCCGACTTAGCGTTAGGGGGGACAGGCTCAAGGCGGAGCGCATCGACCCCCAGTGGCTCATGCATCCCCGGCGGGGCCTGATCGGCCCACCCCTCCCAGGACCGCGGGCGGCTTCGCCATCGGCGGCACATCGCCGAGCTGTCGGGCGCTGCACCGACGATCGCAGGTCGATGTTCCCCCCTGAGCCAGTCCCCCCCCCTCCTGCTGCCCCTCAGGACAGCGGCCTGGCCGTGTTCGCGGGGGACACAAAACGTACAAACCTAATCTGTCGGAGGCCCGCGCGGATTTCTCTCTCATCGGCGCCAGAGCCCCCCCCCGCGGCGGCGCCTCCAGCGCCGCCCCTGGTGCGCACTCCTCGCGCCAGGCAGGTGGGTCCAGCGCCGATTCAAGAAATCCGCGCGGACCTCCGAAAGTTTGTGTTTGTGCCATCCTCTGTTCCCCGAGTGTACGCGGACGTGGCGAGGGTGGAGGCCTACAAGCAGCGCGGCCTTCAGTACCACGACATCTGCAGGCCCCACTGGCTGGAGAAGGAGCCGGAGCTGTTCTGGGGCTTCTGGGGCCAGTGCTTCAACGACTACCGGTGCACGCCGCCCCACGAGGGATACGCCATGATCGACAGATGGGTAGACCGCCGCTTCAGGCACACCGAGCTGGCCCAGAAGATCAGGCAGAAGCTGCAGGCGTCGCGCGAAGCCGACGGCGGTGGAGGTGAGGAGGACCGCCCGACGCAGCTGCCCTCGAGGCCCTACGTCGTCTCCGACGCCGCGGGTGGCTTCTTCGTCTTCACCTCGAACGTCGACGCCCACCACTTCGACTGGTTCCGCGCCTGCGAGATCCGGGAGTGCCACGGGAACACGGAGATCTACCAGTGCACCCGCGGGTGCCAGGGCATCTGGCGCGCGCCGCTGGACTTCCGGTTCCTCGTGGCCACCGGCACCATGCTCGCCCCCGCGGGCGCGCCCGCGGGCGCAGCGCCCGCCGCGGAGGCTGCGGAGGGCTTGGGCGCCGCGGCCTCGGGCGACGGTGCTCCTCCTCCTCCTCCTCCTCCTCCTCCTTCCTCCTCCTCCTCCTCCTCCTCCTCCTCCTCCTTCTCCTCATCCTTCCTCCTCCTTCCTCCTCCTGCTCCTCCTCCTCCTCCTCCTCTTTCTCCCCCCGCAGGCGGCGAGGCCAGGCCGCGCGTCGGGAACGTCCGAGGGGGCGGGCGGCGGACGACGCTCCGGCACATGCCGGGGTCCCCTGCCGGGGCGGCGGGCTTCGAGACTCGGGCCGGACGAAAGGGGGGGATTGGGAAAGGGGGGGTTACGAAATCTGCTGCATGCAGCTGGTTTCGGCTCCACCGAGGGGCCCATTCCTCGAGAATGGGCGCCTCCCGGCGCCGGGAGGCGCCAGGAGAATCAGCGTGAGCTGATTCTCAAACCCCCCCGTTGCTATCCCCCCCTTTCGCCCGACCCGAGAGACGAACCACCCCGCGTGCCCGAGCTGCCGGGGCCCCGCGCGGCCCGCCATCCTGATGTTCGGGGACTACGGCTGGCTGGACCTGGAGGAGCAGGACGAGCGGTGGAGCGCGTGGGCGAAGGCGGTGTGCTCGGCCGCCGACGACGCCCGGACGGGCGGCCGCCCCCTCCGCGTCGCGATCCTCGAGGTCGGCGCGGGGGGCAACGTGCCCACGGTCCGGAGGACCTCGGAGGAGCAGCTGCACGAGTTCGGCGAGAGCGGCGCGGTGGCCAGCCTCATCCGCGTGAACCCGGAGCTCCCGCTCGGGGACAGGGACGAGTACGAGCCCACGGGCGAGGGGGCGGACCGCGTCATCAGCATCATGGACACGGGGCTGGCGAGCCTCGGGCGCATCGACGCGGCCCTGGAGGCGCTGTGGTCTGCGGGAGCCGCCGAGGGGCCGGGCCAGGGCCAGGCCGGGGCGGCAGGGCGGCCACTGTGACGGCAAGCCAGTCTCAACACATTCGGGTGCTTCATAGAGATTCGGGTGCTTCATAGCGATCCTCCTCCTGCTCCTCCTCCTCCTCCTCCTCCTCCTCTTCCTCTTTCTCCTCCTCCTCCTCCTTCTCCTCCTTCTCGTCTTCCCAGTGCGGCGTCAGACACGCCGGTCAGGGCCTGATCGGAAACGTGCGCAGGGACAGGTGGGCGGGCGGGCTCGCTTCAGCGTGTGACTTGTCCGTCGTCGCGCGCACATGGTACAGAACAGGCTCACGTCGAGGCAATGGGGCTCCAAGGTGCCAGCCCGCATGCGAGGACCAACCTCGTAGCCAGGATTTCTGTGTCTTGATGTCTTTCCTACGATGGCCCTAGAGTTCTCGACCCCTTCCTGGAGACCATTATTTCTCTCACATATGTGATTGCCCCTTCTCCCAGAAACGTTCCTCAGAGGGAGGAACACTTGATTTTTGTTGTCCTGTTGCTTAGAAATCGTTGAGGCCTGGGCAGCAACCAGTTGGTCACAAGGCCATCCGTCAGTGTGACCTCTGCACGTGTACGGTCGTGAGACCGCGATCCGTGATTGGCAACATTGGGCAACCTCTTGGCCTTTTGAGCGCGCGCACGCTCAGAGTGTAATACAGCCGGACCGAGGTATAAGATCGAGGTCGGTTCGGGGAGGGTGCCCTGGTGTTCTTCGTGTTTGTTGGACGTTCTTTTGCATCCTGGGGAGGGGGCCCTTGGGTGTCATGTTTGGTTTGGCCAGCGGGGGGTCTCATGTTCTTGAAGGAGGTATTCTGGCCTAGTTTCGACTGTACAATACGTTGAGTTCTTTGACGAATGATGCTTAGAGTTCTTTGAGTTCTTTGACGAAAGATGTTCAGGTGCATCCTGCTTCGGAGAAGATTCCGACGGTGGCGGCGTTGCAACGGCTCAGGCAGCACCCGGAGCCGCGGCAGGACCTCGGCGAGGAGCGATCGAGCACGCGGCAGGGGCTCGGCGAGGAGCGCCGCCGTGCCAGCACAGCAGTCTGTGTCGCGACGCTTCGGGTACCGCCGAGGATTTCCTCTCGTTCGACCCTGGACGTTGGGAACGCCTCTCGCGCCATTTTGGCTGCGTTTGGTCTCCTCGGTGCCTACCCCAGGCCCGTTGGACGCACTGCCGCATGCCCGTTAAGGGGCTGTCTTTGGCTCCTGGATTGCATCGGCCTCGCCGCCCTGGACGCTGTCGTGTGCCGCCTGATCCGCGGCCCTGCGCGCGTTAGGTAATTTAGTCGCGTCCGCAGCCCGTTCGCGACCTTCCGCCGCTGGCGCTTCCGCCTGCGGCTGCAAAAAAAAAGTACCGCCGAGGAGACCAGCACACTCCACACGTCTCGTCTCGGTTCCTCGTGGGGCTCCCATAAGGGGGCTCCTTGGGGCTATTGTGTGTTGCTGTGGGGACATGCATAGATTGACCCTCTCTTCGGGCTGTCGTGGGAGCCTTGGGCTCCTCTGGGGCAATCCTGGGGCCCTCTGAGACAACCTCTTCGGCCCTCTTCGGGCTATCTTGGGCCATCTGGGGGGGGGCTTGTCCAGGCCCTGATTCGGGTATTGTTTGGCTTCAGTTTGGCTTGTGTTTTTCCCGAGGCTCTGTTGGATCCATCTTTAGCCGAGGGTTCCAGGACACCGAACTTCCAAAGAGATTCCCAGTTTGTGGCATACGTCAGGCCTTCTTGGAGGGCATATTGGCCTTGTCTTTGGTACATTGGATGTCTCTTGGAACCCCAGTGGCGCCTCTTGGGTTTTCTTGGGGGGTTTTGAGCATTCCAAATCTCACAATGGCGGGGGCCCGGTCCAGACAGCGTTTAACAGCGCGTCTGGGACCCCCCCCAAGAGCGGTGCAACAACGGCTCCAGCATCGAGACCCCCAAACAAGCTTGCTCGACGAGGCCTGTTCGACCTGGGCTGGCGCGGTAACGGAAAGAGCGCCGCAGGCACTTGCCCGATATGGCTCATGGCGCCCTCCGCTCTTGGGAGCCTTGGCGTGAAGAGTTTGCTGCGTCACCGCTCTCTGTTGAGAGCCCTGGTGTTCAGACACTTCTAAGTGTCCACTCGCTCTTGGGCGCCTTGCTGTTCGGAACCTTTTACGTCACCTCGCTCTGGAGATCCTTGTTGTTCAGAGCTTGTTACGTCACTGTGGGCCACGGTGTTACGTGGCGTCTCTGGGGCTCGGGAGGCTTCTGAGGGCCCCCTGGAGGGCCGTTTTGAAACTCCCGGGCCCTCTTGGGGGCCTCTTGGGGCCCTCTTGGGGCTCTCTTGGGGCCTTCTTGGGCCGTCTGGGGTCCCTCTTGGGCCGTCTTGGGCCAGCTCAGACCCCACACCCAAGCATCCCAGTCACCACACCGCCCCTTCGGGCCCTCTTGGGAGCCTCTTGGGGCCCTGTTGGGGCTCTCTGGGAAGTGTTTCGGGGCCCTATTGGGCCTTTGTGGGTCTCTCTGGGGCCGTCTGGGGGCCCTGTTGGACAGTGTCTGGCCCCTTTGGGGTGCCTCTGGAGCCGTCTTGGGACGATCTTACGGCCTCTTGGCCTTTTTGGCTCGAAAAGTCGAGAACCCGAAACACTTTCAAACATCTAAGGGTAACTGCTGCGCTTGGCCTCCTGAGGCCCTCTCGGGGGCCCTCTAGAAAGCTTCTGGAGCCGTCTGGAGGCTTTCTTGGACAGCCCATTCCCCGCACTGCCTCTTCGGGCCCCCTTGGGATTTTCTTGGGAGCTTCTTGGAGCCCTCTTGGGGCTCTCTTGGGGCCGTCTGGGGGCTCTCTTGGACCGTTGTCGAGCCCTTTGGGGGGCTCAGGAGCCGTCTTGGGACGAACTTTGGGGCCTGGTGGGCCGTGTTGAGCCCTTCTGAACCCGAAAAGGTGAGAACCCGCTAGAGGCATCAACGGTTATGCCCGTCAGAGGTCCTCTGGAGGGCCTCGGGAGCCGTCTCGAAGTTTTCTTTCACCGTCTGGAGGCACCCTGAAGCTTCCTCGGGGCAGTCTGTTGGCCCTTTCGGGTCCCTCTGGGGCCGTCTTGGGGCCCTCTGGCCGCTTCACTCGAACTAGTACGAAGAAACAGACCATGGGAGCCGCCCAGGAGCCACTTCATTCGAGAAAATACAACGGAAGCGGTCCCCGGGCTGCCATTTTAGCACATTCCCGCGAGCCTCGCCGCTCCCCTGGACACCTCCCCAGATGGCTTCGCCCCAACTCCACGTACATCGCTCGTACTTCGCTCTGTACCTCCCACAAAAATTGATCCTCCCCCCTTTTTATGATATCCAGGGTTCGGTGGGGGCGTTCGTCAGGGAATGTGTACAGGACGTTCCAGTCCCTGGAGGATTCCTTATCTGATGAGGGTGACGGTGATGTCCATTGCCAAACATATGTTGGAGTTCCACGGGCTTCCAGACCCTGGGTTCCTTATCTAAGGGTTCCGTACGCAATGCCCCAGTTCAGTCCGTAGCCATTTTGGCTCAAATCTGCTCGGGCGACCGCGGCGCGGGCGGCTAAGAGATAGCGGAGGGGGGCTGCCCGCCTGAGAGGCGGCCCATGCGCATGGAGGAAGAAGTTCGGCTCGGAGCCCCAGCGGCGCGGCGTGAGGCGAGACGCAGGCGGCCGATGGCTTGTGAAGCTGGTCTACGCCGAGCTCTTGGGGACGGGGAAGGGGCCAGGCCCGGTTCGTGGAGGGATCGCGAGGCGGCATCCCGCCCAGCCCTGAGAGCGGCGGCAGTGGGAAGGAGAGTCTGTGACAGCTCCCGTCTCCGCCGCAACGTGGCGCGGCATGCTGCTCAGCCGCCTCCCTGCGGGTTGCGAGGGCCTCGAGGGCGGCGCTCGCGCGGGCGGCTGCGGGGCCACGTCTGGCGGCCTTTGGCGGGGGCGCGTCTGGACCCGTGTGCGAGACGTTGGAGGTGCAGAGCCAAAAAGCAGGCGGTGCCGCGGGCGTTGTGCTGCAGCCCACCGCGGTGGTGTGGCAGCCGTTCGCGGCGCGCCCGTTCCAGTAGCTGCAGCCCCATGCCCCAGGGGTCTGGTCATTTCGCGACGGGGTGGCCGAAGGCCACGCGCTGGCATTCGGGCAGGGCCTGGAAGCTGGACGGCGGCTGGCGACTTCCGCTCGCGAAGGTAGTGGCGGGGTCCAGTCGAGCGCGGAGGGCGTGGTCTTTGCGAACCCTCCCGCCTCCCCTCCTGGGCCTGGCTCGGGCAGGTGCTGCAGCCGCCGCGTGCAGGACGATTGCGACCTCATGGACGTTGAGGTCGTCGGGGTCGTCCGCGACGCGGAGGGCGTTTGCTTCGGCGAGGCGGGCGGCTCGTCTGCCGAGGCCTCGCCGGAGCTGCACACGCGGGAGGAGTTCGAGCAGGAAGTGGACAGGAGCTTCAGCCGCCGCGGTTGGGACGACCTCATGGACGTCGAGGTCGTCGGGTTTGTCCGCGACGCGGAGGGCGATGGCTTCGGCGAGGCGGGCGGCTCGTCAGTCGAGGCCTCGCCGGAGCTGCACACGCGGGAGGAGTTCGAGCAGGAAGTGGACAGGAGCTTCAGCCGCCGCGGTTGGGACGACCTCATGGACGTCGAGGTCGTCGGGTTTGTCCGCGACGCGGAGGGCGATGGCTTCGGCGAGGCGGGCGGCTCGTCAGTCGAGGCCTCGCCGGAGCTGCACACGCGGGAGGAGTTCGAGCAGGAAGTGGACAGGAGCTTCAGCCGCCGCGGTTGGGACGACCTCATGGACGTCGAGGTCGTCGGGTTTGTCCGCGACGCGGAGGGCGATGGCTTCGGCGAGGCGGGCGGCTCGTCAGTCGAGGACTCGTCGGAGCTGCACGCGCGGGAGGAGTGCGAGCAGGACCCCGAGGGCGAGTTGGCGAGCGGCTCCCTCGGCCCGCAGGCCGAGGCCGGGGCGGATGCCAAGCTCAGCGGCCTCGTGTTCGGCATCTTGGAGGGACTCGACCTCTCCATGGTCCACTACGTCGGCACGCAGCTGGTGGAGTGCCGCGCGGGGGCAGCCCTCCTCCTCCTCCTCCTCCTCCTCCTCCTCCTCCTCCTCCTCCTCCTCCTCCTCCTCCTCCTCTTCCTCCTCAGACGGTGAGACGCTGACGGCACGTGAGTTATCCGACCGCTGCCGCTTCCCCCACGTATCCCATCTCCAGGGGCGGTATCCGCACGCCTGGAGGTTATGGGCGTTGCGCGGTCGCCCTGGATTGACGGTGGGGCGCAGGCCTTCGCGCGCGGTTACGTGGAGGGGGGTCGCGAGCAGTGGGCGGCGGCGGCGCGTGGGGACGAGGGGCCCCAGGTAGACGAGCCCTTGGCGGTGGGTTTGTTCCTGGGGGCCCCGCCCGCGCCTCTCTGCGTGACATTCGAATCACGGGTGGGTCCGATCACCCTCGAGGAGCTAAAAAAAATGCCCCAGCTGATCCTCGCGACCACGATGTTCGGCCACCTCCGCGGCCTGGATGCCCTCCGCGGGCCGTTTTGCGAACGCCTTGGGGACGGCCTCGGGGCGCACGGGCATGCGCCAGGCAGCCCAGAGGAGCCTCTGGAGGGGAGGGCGGTGCACGTGGTGAAGCGCGGCGAGAGGGGGGGGCCTTAACGAGGGGGGCCCTGAGATCCTGGCGACATATTTTTTTCGGGCCAGGCGTTTTCGCCTTCTTTCGGGCCCCGCGACATTCGCAGATCGATCCGGCTCGAAATGGCGCAGAAAGATAGGGTCTAGGGCTCCAGGCGCGATGTTTCACGATGCGGCATTTCTTGCAACGTCGAAACTCAGGTGGGGACTTCAGAAACTTTACCGAGCATTCTGCCACGAACCAACAGGCTAAGATGCAGCTCGTGCGAGGTTGACTGTCGCATCGGCGCTGGCAGATCCGTAGCCGAAGACCAGCCTACTCCAGCATACCCCCGCCGGCCTGATCGCCTACTCCCGTGCAGTCGGCCTCGCGCCCGGGCCTAGTGCAGCCCAGTCTGGCTCCATGGCCCCTTGGTTTGGCTGGGTGGCCCGTAGAGGAGGAGGAGGAGGAAAAGGAAGAGGAGGCGGAGGAGGAGGAGGAGGAAAAGGGACAGGAAGAGGGACAGGAAAAAGGAGGAGGAGGAGGAGGAGGAGGAGGAGGAGGAGGAGGAGGAGGAGGAGGGGGAGGGGGAGGAGGAGGAGGAAAAGGAGGAGGACCCCACCCCCTCGCCTGGCAGCCTGAGGAAGAGGAGCCTCGCCGCTCGCGTTCGGGCGCTTGTTCCGAGCAGGAAAGGAGATTTTTTGCAAGGGGAGCATCCTGCTCTCCTCGACCTCCATCCCCTCCAAAGAGGGGCCCAAGAGGGCCCCACGAGGGCCGAAGAAACACCCAAGAAGGCCCCAAGAGAGCCTCAGAAGGCCCTTCGACTGCCAAAGACAGCGCCAAGGCGGCCCCACGACGGCCCCCAGGCACACATAATTTTGTCAGTGGGGCCCCACGACGGCCCAAGAGGGCCCCGAGACGGCCTACGAGGGCCCCGACACGGCCGACGAGGGCCCCAAGGGACCCCCAAGATTGCCCCAGTGGCCCCCCAAACATGCGCGCGTCGTGAAAGAATCAAGGCGCAGGGGCCCTCTCCGGGCCCCAGGACCAGCAACAAAGCAACTTGCGGAACGAACATCGGCTAGCCAGCCCTACGTCCTGTTGATTCTTGGCGCGTATTATGCAGGTGGTGTTCCTGCTCTCTACGGAGAAGGGCCACACGAGCGGATACACACGGCGCGAGAGGAGTGGAGCGGGGGGACCGAGAGAATAGCAAGGGAGAAGGGCCGGAAGAGGGGAGAATTGCAGAACAGCGCTTTGTTTCATCGAGGGTCGAGGATCGTGCCAAGATCTGTCCCACGGCTATACCGTGGCTTCCATCCTGGCGAGTCGTGCGAGCCGCGCCCGGCCGAGGCGACCTGGGCAATCCAGAGAAAGGGGCCGAGACTGCCCAGTGAACCCGATCCTCGAATCTCGATCGGCGGCTGTCCAGGGGCACGTTCTGCCCAGAATTCCGAGTCGGATCCAGCCGTGGCGAGGGGGCCGCCCCCCAGAGGCTCAGGTGGATCGATCCCCCAATGAGGGCGCCCTCGAATGTCATGGCTACTCCAGCCTCGAGCCTCGCTGGACGACATCTCCACCGGCGATGGCGACGGCGACGACGAAGGTGCCGACGTCGACGTCGACGTCGACGAAGACAACGGCGACGACCACGACAAAGACGAGGTCGAGATCCGGGTGGACCGCCACTGGCAGCGCGTCCGCGGGGGGATCTTGGCCGACTCCGTCGGCTACGGGAAGACTGCCTGCATGATCGGGCTCATTCAGGCGGCTCCCTGCTGGGGAGGAGCCCTTCCGGGGAGGAGGATCGAGGATCAAGGCGGAGAGGGAGGAGGAGGATCACGAGCGACGAACACATCCATATCCATGCCCTCGCGGTCTGGATAGCAAGGCGCGATCCCTTGGCTACGCGACCCCAAGGATACCTGCTGGAGCTTTTGCATCCGCGCAAGGCCTCCCTGTACCCCTGGGCTCGCGGCCCGAGGGGTCCGGACCGAGAGGGGCCGTGGCCATGATTATACTTCCCGCCCGCGAGTTCTGGGGTGAAAGAGGCTCCCCGCTCAGGAGGAGGAGGAGGAGGAGGAGGAGGAGGAGGAGGAGGAGGAGGATCGAGGAGGAGGGGCATCGAGGAGGAGGAGGATCAAGATAATCGGGGATCGGCCTCATCCAGGCGGCTCCTAGAGGAAGGAGGCTCCTCGAAAAGAGGACCGAGAGGAATTGACGACCTTCTCCTCCTCCCTCCCCTTTCCTCCTCCTCCCTCTTCCTCCTTGTGCCGCACCGCTGGTCCCCCACCTCCGCCACTCGCCCCCCTCCGAGTGTCTTTGGCAGCTGAGTTCAAACAAGCACGCCGGACTTGTCGTACTAATCCGGCCGGCTTTGAAAAAAAAGGGGCGCATCCGTTGTAACGCTCTGGCCCACTTCCCCTCGCCTCCCCATCCGTCCCCCTCCAATTCGGTACGACAGACTCGTCGCCACTGTCTGCCCAAGGCCCACAGAGCAGCTGGCCAAGAGAGGTGGCATCCGAATTCACATCGCGTGCTATCGTGCTCTCAAGGGATTATAGGTGGTGTCCTCCTCCCTCTGTTCCTCCTCGTCTTTCTCCCGTCCGTCGAGTCGTCCCCGTCTCCCCCGGCTGCTCTTCTCCCTCTAAACGAACGCAAACATATGCTGTATCTCGGAAAGCCAGTCCCCTGATTCGGGCCGGGCGAAAGGGGGGGATTGGGAAAGGGGGGGGTACGAAATTTGCTGCATGCAGCTGGTTTCGGCCTCACCGAGGGGCCCATTCTTCGATACATAGCCGCCTCCGGCGCCGGGAGGCGCCAGGAAAATCAGCTACGTGAGCTGATTCTCAAACCCCCCCTTTGCTATCCCCCCCTTTCGCCCGACCCGACTGATCTCCGGGCCAGTCTCGTCCTGGGCCCCGTCCCAGAGGCCCGCTCGCAGATTGCAGGGTCTCCGTGCCGCAGTTCTGCTGGCGCGCGTGGAGTGTGGCGCAGCGCTGCTCGAGAGCTTATTCAGGAGGGAAAGAAAGACACAGACACAATTAATCCTCGATCCCCCAGAAAATATGGGAAAATATGGGAAGTGGTGGGGAAGACAGAAACCCAGAAAATATGGGAAAATATGGGGAATCATTTTATTTGTGTGTATTTATTTGTGTGTCCTGGGGCCCCTTCACTTATGCTGAGCATGAGCCATGCTCACCCGAGTCGGATTTCCCTCTCGTGCATGTGGTCCGCTCCGCTCCGCTCCGCTCCCCCTTCCGAGCTGGAAGATCGAGAGGAGCAAGGGGGTAGGATCGACGATCGAGGTTTTTGGGGTGTTTCTGGAGGTCCTCGTCGCCTCGGCTGGACGCGTCCCAGAAAACCTGCCTGGATGGACCCCGCGCAGGGCCACGGCACCGATTTGATCAGCGATTTCGATCCCCAGAGACGAGATCAGAAGTGGAGGGGTTTCCTCCTTCCAGTCCTTCACCCATCCTGCTCGATCCGTCCCCTCGCTTCATCACTCTCCTCCCGTGTGCTTGTTCATTCGATAGATCCGCCTACATGCTGGCTCAATCAGTCTTGTCCGAGGCCACCTCCGACGGAGGCTCCAGGACCGAGCCTTCGGAAGAGGCGAGCGAGGAGGAGCCCCGAGGACGAGGACGGAAGTCGAGGACCGATACGACTGGGGATCGGCGTCACCGCAACATACTTGCACTATATGTGCGTCGCCCTTCCCCCCAGGAGCGACGCGCGCACCGACAAATCTTCTCGTGCGTGCGTCGTGGCGGGCGCTTTCTGGCCACACCGCTCGGGAAACGAAACGATCCACTACAGGATGGGTATACTATATGTTCGGGTCGGACGCGCGCCTCCAAGGAGGACGTGTAGTACTAGTCTGTCCCTGTGCGTCCCATTGGGAGGGCCGCCGATGGGCAGCACAGCGAACACGCCCGGATCCGCCGGCCTCTGCGACGGGCGGCCACGATAGTCAAGCAGTGGCGAAGCGTCCTGGCTCGCCTAAAGCTCTACCAAACAATGTTCTCAGAACCTCTCGTGGTTTCCACGACATATTCTTAGAACAATTATGGCTGAGCTTGCCCTGTTTTAACACATTGGGTTTCTGTTCTCAGACACTGTTTTTGTTCTAGCAACATTTTTGGGGTTCTACGACCACTTCTTGGTAGGACAGTTAGGAGGGCCGGGACGGCCCGGCCCCTGCTCGAAACAGGCGGCGACGGGCGGCCGCCGGGGCGAACACACCGAGCACGGCGGCCGCACCCTCCTCTCCCGGCAGCACGCGTGCATGTTTTCTCGGCGGGGGCTCTCAACCTCTTGGAGGATCGACTACAGAATTGGCGTACCCCCAACTTGATTATCACGTCGACGCTTCAACAAGGATGCGTTAACCGTTCGTAGACAGGCGAGAGTTCTGCGACTTGCCCGTGGGTTCGACAAGAAAAGTCAATCCTGGGGCAAATCAGTTCTGTAGTCGATCCCCTCCTCGAGTCGAGGATCATCCTCGGCCGTCCGGCAATCAAACACACGCACGAAGCCGAACACTGCACGGGGATGGGTCATCCGAGCAACGGCGAGTGCTATACGACCGAGCGCGAGCCGTGCGAGCTCCTACGCCCCAAGTGTGAGTCCGTGGGGGGGCGGGGGGGGGCACGGTGCTGCCTGCGGCGCGCTGCGCGGGCACCTCGGCCTGCTCCGCGCGGATGCGCACCGTGATGCAACGTTGGCTTCAAATTTGATGTTATCGCTGGTCCAACCCCTTCGCATCGTGCACCGTTTCCGCCGCCCGCTCTCGAACGGAGCAGCTGGGGATTGCATCGGCTGCTCGCCAGAATGGTGCGCGCCCCGCGCCGGCATCCCCGCAAGCTGCGCAAGCCTGTGCGCGCGGGAGTGGCCCAGACCAGGACTGCATCAGCGCTCCAGATTTGAGAGGCTTCACGGCTAGTTCCGCCGACCCTGCTGCAGGATCAGGAGACCTTGGGAAGGTCGCAAGGGAGCTGGGGAGCGCACGAAGGCAAGCCGACGACTATCTCCCAGAACGGATTCAGCAGCAAATCAATAATGGAGAAGAGACAGAACACCGTGCCACATCTATACGTCTCTACGAGCCGACTCGCATCGCGCATGGTTTCCGCCAGCCGTCCTGGAATGATGCGGCTGCGGATGGCAGCGGCTGCTCGTCAGAATGGCCAATTCCGCACCCGCATGGCACCATACTTGGGGCCCTCTCCATTCGCTTGAACGTTTACCAACGTGTTTGCCCAACTGCTTGCCGTGACGCCGTTATGCATTGCGTTTCCGTGTCAGCGTTTCCGCGTGCGCGGGACACTATGAATGGGCGTAGGAGTATACAGATGATGAGAAAGAGCGTTTTCTGGCGCCACTGGTAGAAGGGGGGGCCCCCCTGCCTCACAAACAAGGGAAGGGGAGGGCGGTTCGGGAACCGGGGGGACGCCCCCCCTTCGAAAAACAACAAGGGGAGGGTTGCAACCCCCCCTCCCCCCCCATCCCGTCCCCCGGCCCTCCCCGTGGGTTCCGAACCCCCCACCCCCCCCTTAGCCGCCAGCAGCCCTCGACGACGACGACGACGACGACGACGACGACGACGACGGCGGCGACGACGACGACGACGACGACGACGACGTCACATTCTTGCGCCAAGGGGGGGGGTCGAACACACCACCTCCGCCCCCCCATTCCCAGGCCTTCCCGGGGGTTTCGGCCCCCCCCCCCTTGCTCGCCGCCTGCAAACGGCGACGACCGACGACGACGACGACGACGACGCCGACGTCGCAGATCTGCGCCAACGCCCGTCCACCCGCGTTGGAGAAGAAAGACGAGGGAAAGGAGCGGGGGAGGAGGAGGAATAGCAGTGAGAGGGGGCGGTGGTTCAGGGAAGGGAGCGGCAGCGGGTGGGAGGGCGCGAAAAGGAGGGGGAGGGGGAGGAGAAGGAGAAGGAGGAGGAGGAGGAGGAGGAGGTGGAAGAGGAGGAGGAGGAGGAGGAGGAGGAGGAGGAGGAGAAGGAGGAGGAGGAGGACACTCGGCGGGACCACTCCTTCGAGCGAGGCGGTGACGATTTTCGACGGCCCCGAGGCGCCGCGAGGGTCCTGGGGGCCGAACACAATCAAACACCGCCCCCTCCAATTTTTTGGAGCGTCGGATCTCTGGGGGACCGGCTCGCTCGCGTCAATTTTGGCGTGTTTTGTCGGTTCTGGTGTGTTCGGCGCGAGACGCAAGCCAGAACACCAGGAGGGAGCTTCTGGGCAACAGCAGAGCAACAACGCTGGCAACGCGAAGTGCACCGGAAGCGAGCGGGCACCACTTGCGCACGTTCGAATGTTTTGCACAGGTCGCTGCATGCTAGGCGACGGAGATCCGAGCGCGGTAAATGACCACCACCAGTCGGTATCGCACAGCCGATCCCCATCCACATCCCCATCCCCATCCAGACCACCAGCACTCTTGCACCCCAGTTGTGGGCACAGACCCCGAAACCCGAAACGAACGGCTCACATCCCCATGTCGGGGGGCAACCAGCCATTGGGTCCCAGGCCACGCCGCTGAGGATGGGGATCGAATGGACGATCTCAACCAGCGAGGTCGGGAGAAGTGCGCGACCTGTTGAGGTGCAGTTCGGCTCCTGTGGGGAAGCCGTTGTCGCAACCCCGCCGGCGACGACGGCAGGGACGCCGTTTCGCACCCGCAGGCCGGAAGAGGGATCCTCAAAACGCACGCGGTGGTCGTGTCCATCAGTTTCGATACACTTCGGGGGGGGTTGTTTCTCATCACCACCAGGTTGGGCGATTGCTGTGATGTCTGTTCTGGGAAGTCCCTTCCGCGGCGCCTGTGCGTCGCGCTGGGCTCCTGTTCGTGTGCGGGGTCGCGGCGTCTTTTTGCGCGGCGGTGGTTTGTATCATCGTTTCCATGTTTTGGGGGCGGTGGTGGAGTCTGTGATTTGGCCTTGGAGGAAAGCGTGCGCCGGCGCGGCAGCAGTGTCTAGAGGAAGCATGGCGGCAGAAAACGTGGAATATCAAGGAGGCTGGAGGACTCAAGCCAGAACAGTTCCCAAGCTCATTTGTACGCTGGCGTCCAGGCGGCATCTGACGCGAAGGTTACCCACGGCGTGGATGAAGATATGTTGTTCGACTTTTTCTCTTCGGCGAGAGCACGGAACGAGCTGCATTGTAATGTGCGTCGCATGCAGGGGCGTTTCTTTTGGCAACGGCCAAAAGAAACAATGCGGCACGCCCGTGCTACATGCTTAACGATGCCCTGACCTCCAATCCTCTCGTGTTTGTGCGCCCTGTTGCCGCCGCTCCCGCAGTGCATCAGGCCTTCCGGCTCCGCTTGCGGAGCGGGGAAACGAGGAGCCTTTTTGGGGTTTTCCAGAGGATTTGGCTTGGCGCTAGTGGGCGTTTTTTGCAGCAATGTTGGGCCATCCTTGCTGTTTTGGTGGCCTTCCTGGGTCTCCTTGGAAACCTCCGAGAGTTCAGGGGAGGTACAGGGAAGCGCCGGGCCGCTCCAGGGAGAGTTAGGGGTAGGGGGCGGATACGCGCGCCATTGTGTGACCAGGAGGGGTGGTGGGCTTAGAAGACTTACGTAGACGTTACATGACAGCATGTAGCAATACAGCGCGCCCCTACGTGCCCAAACCAATGTGAGTGGCGAGCCGATGCACACACACATCTATCCATATCTACAGAGTTTCCTGTACACATGAGTATTCTCCTCATTTGACATGCCAGTAACGCAGATGTACGTGCACATGCCGTAACAAGACCGTCAGTTGTGTTGCATGTGCCCCCCGAAATTGGGGGCGGTTGAGGAGTGGAGCGCTGAGATGGAGCAGGAGGATGGGAAAGAGAAGGAGGAGGAGGAGGAGGAGGAGGCGTAGGAGGAGGAGGAGGAGGAGGAAGAGGGGGAGGAGGAGGAGGAGGGGAAACAGGACGTGGACGAGGACGAGGACGAGGACAAGTGCGAAAAGAAGGGGAAGATGAACTTCGAGGGGGTAAGAGGGAGAGTGGGGTAAGGAGAATCAGGAGGGGGAGGAGGTGGAGGGGGAGAGGGAGCAGGAGGAGGAGGAGGAGGAGGAGGATGACAGGAGGAACGGAAGAAGAGAAGCGTCGGTTTGACCAACACCTGGGCTCCAGGCTTCCCCATGCTGCCTCATGTCCGCGCGCTGTCTTACGGTCGACTGCCTGCGCTGTTCTGCCTCCTGCTTCCATCCGTGACCGGTGCCGCGCGCACGGGATTGTTCCAGAAGGAGGAAGTGGGAGGGGCAGCAGCAGCAGGAGGGAACAGAGGATACGAGAACCAGCAACTTGTACACGCGCAGTCGTACGTTCGCGCAGCTTGCTGGAGGTAGGGGCGAACTTGTTGAATTGAGGGGAGAAGCGTAATCCAGGGGAAGCAAGAAGAAGCCGAGGAGCAGGAGGAGGAGGAGGAGGAGGTCTGAGGATGATGGGTGAGTGAGGATGTGGACGTTTTGGAGGAGAGGGGCGATGATGTTGAAGTGGAGGTTAAAGGAAGATCGAGGAGGCGAGGGAGGGATAAGCAGGGGGACTTCGACCAGGGGAGAGGGACAGGGATGGAGGATGAGGACGAGAGGAAGGAGAGCAGGAGGAGGACAAGGATTACGATGGGTAGGGACAGGGTAACCATAGCGGTGTGGACTGGACGAGGACGAGGTAGTCTCGATGATAAAGCAGGGGGAAGGGGAGATGACAGGGTACATGTCAGAGAGGGAAGCAAAAACGATAGAACATGGAACATGGAAGGATTCTTGTGGGCGTCTCCAGAGGCTATCGCCGCCACGGCTGGCCGCCGCTCGGACAACTGGGCAGCATGGATCCCTGGAGGGCACCGTGGGTCAGGTATCCCGCCGCGGCGCGCCCGCGCGGCTGCCGCCACCGTCGCCGCCGTCCGCGGCATCGTCGCGCCCGCCACAGGGCCCCCAAGGGCGCCGGGCGGCGTGCCCATGGCGGCCCCCGGGCCGACGCTGCCGCGACGCGACTGCGCGGGCGCCGCGGCCGCGGCGGCGGCCTGGCGCGCCGCGGAGGCGGCCGCCTGGGACTGCCACCCCGCGAGGCCGCGCGCGCCCGCGCGCCCGCGCGCGAAGGCTGGCGGTGGGCCCGCGGCGGCGGCGCCCGCGCGCGCCCGCGGCGCCGAGCGGGGCGGCGCCGAGCGGAGCGGCGCCGGGCGGGGCGGCGCCGGCGGGGCGGCGCGCCGAGGGGCCGGCGGCGGGGCCCCGGCGGCGGGGCCCGCCGCCGCGCGCGGCGCGCTCGGCACGGCGGCGGAGGCGGCGCTGTCGGGCGAGGAGGAGCACGCTTGCATGGTTTGGCCTCGGGTTGGGGCCGGGCTCTGGCTGCTCTCCATCAAGCAGTGGCGACGCGTCCCGGCTCGCCTATAGCCCCACCACACAATTTTCTAAAAATCTTTTGAGGTTCCCGCGAAATGTTCTTAGAACATTCCTGGCTGGGACTGTCTTGTTTTAACACATCGGGTTATGTTCTAAGAACATTGTTTTCATTCTTAGAACAGTTTTGGGCTCTAAGAACATTCCGTGGTATGACTATAGGAATGCCGGGACGGTCGGTCCCTGTTCAACTCCAGAGCTCCAGGGTGTTCGGGCGCGGGTTCGAGGTCCAGTGCTGGCTCGGGCTGGGGCTCGGGCTCGGGCTTGGGCTGGAGATCGGGCTCGGGGTGGGGCCCGGGAGATGCTGGGACAAGCTTACGGGCATGACGTTTCTCCCCTCCCCCCCCCGCCGCCGCCTCCTCAAGCAGCGCCAGGCCAGAGCGGTGCGCAGTTGGATCCCACCTTGGGTGGGGTCCAGGTTTCTTTTCAGAGGGGACGCGTCGACCCCCACTCGCCCATTGATCGCCCTGGGGGCGATGGACTTGTTGTCGGGGGCTTATCGGCGCTGTATGGCCAATTCCATGTCGATGCCCCCCCCCTGAACCAGTTCCCCCCCTTCGTGTACCCCCGAAAGGGCAGGGCCGTTTTTTTACCGTTTCCGACAAAGTGTCCATCGAGAGTGGAAGCGGCCCAAAAACGGCGACCGGAAACGGCAAAAGCACGGCTCCTGGATCGGAACCAGGGCCGGAAACGGCAACAAGAAGGCGACGGAACCGGTGATAAAAAGTAAGAGCGGCGTCGGGAGCGGCAGCAAAAAGGGCGCAACGGAGCCGGTGACAAGAACGGCCCCGTCGTTTCCAGGGCCCCCCGTGACGCGGCCGCGCAGGAGGCTGCGCACCTGCGGGTGCTTACCGAGGCCATCGAGGAGCTGGAGGCCCTGAGCCAGGCCCTCGGGGCCGGCATCAGGTCAAGCATGTCCTCCTAGAGGCGGATGTTGGAGGAGGCATGAAGAAGCAGTCAAACACAAGTCATGCATAGTCAAAACATCCAGAAGAATCGCCCCCCTGTGATTTTTGGATTATTTTTGGCTGCAGGCAACGGCTCGAGTAAGGAACACCTACTTTTCAAAAGGGGCTCGGTCGTTCCGTAGCTTCACATGCGTGATGTATCGTTCCTCATGCGTTGCTTGTGATTTCTGCGGCGACTGGCAGAGGTGCGCTCTCGACCTGCGAATCAAACATTGTGATTTCTGCGGTCCTGATGCGCTACGCCTTGGAAAACAAAAAGGCTCCGTTCCTGATTCATCGCTCCTGAGGCCAGGCCGGCGACCGAATGCCTCCCGTCGAGGGGCAGGCCCGACTTAGAAAGAAGGCCAGCGTCAGATCCTCGGCGAGCCTGCGCGGCTCGCCCGTGTCCCCGGCGCTGGGTCTCTCCCGTGCCCCGGCGCTGGCGGAGCGCGGCCTCGGCCAGGGCGGGGCCCATGCCCGACCTGGGCAGGCTGCGGGGCCCTGTGCTTGCATGAAGGTCGGGCCTGTCCCTCTACTCGGGGGCGGAAAAGAGGGTGGTGATGACTAGGGGGGGGGGGATATCATGGCGGGGGCCATGATATCTCCCCAGATGTCATGGCGCCTCTTCTTATTCCATCACGTCCCTGGCCCCCCCGCTGGGCCGCGCACATGCCGCCGGTCATGATTTGCACCCCCCCCTCTTGGACACCCCCCTCTTGGCCGCTCCCGATGGCGGAGCGCGGTCTCGGCAGGGTGGGGTCCAAGCCTGACCTGGGAAGCCTGCGGGGCCCTGTGCTTGCAGGAAGGTCGGGCCTGCCCCTCTACAGGGGGAGCATTCCAAAAACAATGAAAACATAGTCTGGGGGTGATGCTGCTTGCATGTCCACCTATTGTTGATGATAGTTTTTTTTTTGAACATTTTCAAGTTTTCGTCCAACACCCGCCTGTATAGGAGGACATGCCCGACCTCAGGCCAGCATCTGAGCGTGGCGAGTCTGCGAGGGTCGCTCGTGCCAGCGCTGGGGCTCCCATTCCCCACCGACGGAGCGCGGCAATCTGCAGGGTGGGGTCCAGCCCCGACCTTGGAAGTCTGCGCGGCCCTGTGCTTTCAGAGGAAGGCGTTGCGTCCTGATCTGCCTGCCTTGGCATCGCTCGGACGTGTGCATTTTTTTTCCGGCGAGGACCATCGAGGAACATCCTTGATCATTTCGCGAAAAAACCACGCACGAAACCGACAAAAAACACAGGGAATGGACGTCCGAGCGATGGCCAGTTGCAGTCGAAGAAGGAAACTGCATAAGCATTAACTGTTGGCTCTCCGCACGGATTTCTTGGACCCGCGCCGTGGCCCACCCGGCGGCGCCTCTGGCGCCGCCCCTGGCGCGCTCCGCGCGCCGAGGAGAGGGGTCTGGCGCGGATCCAAGAAATCCGCTGGGAACGCCAATAGTTGATGTTTATGGTTACTTGTATTCTTCTATGCTTAAGTCGGGCGTGTCCCTCTACAGGGGGAATATTCAAAAATGAACAAAAAATAGTCTGGGCACGATTTTTTTATTATTTCGAATATTTCGGGAGTATCTTTTTGAGTATTTTTAATTTTTCGCCCAAAATCCCCCTGTAGGGGGACACGCCCGACTTAATTCTATGCAGGCCCACCAAGTAATATTCCTGGAACTTGCTTTTGGTGCGCACGACCGGCCACTAGGACATGCTTAGCTGAAACAGCAGTGCTCCCAACCATCCTGTGGTGTTGGGTCCTCGTTTTGAATCAGCAGCGCCCCGCGGCTCCTTCTCCGCCTCTCCTCCTCCCCCTCCTACCTCCTTCAATTCATGCCCCTGCCCCCTCCGCGTGCCCATTCTTAGACACCCTCACACGTTTCGTGGCCCCAGAATGGAGCCCCAACTAAGGCCCAAAATTCAGCGTTCGCGACGTTCGCATGGCGTGATTACCCGCACCCGATTCGGCATGCCCCTCACAAGTTCCGTGGCGCCATAGGGAGTTCCACCGAAGGCCCTGATTCCAGCGTTCGCATGGCGCACCCGCATCTGATTCGGCACACTCCTCACGCGTTCCGTGGCCCTACGAGGGGCTCCACCGAAGGTCCCAGTGGCTGGGTTGCGTACCTGCACCTGAACCGGCACACCCCTCGCACGTTTCGTGGCATCATGGAGAGCTCTACCGAACGCCCCAGTGGCTGGGCTCGCATGGCGCATCCGCTCCGAATTGGCACACCCCTCACACGTTTGGTGGCACCATGGGGAGCTCTACCGAACGCCCCAGTGGCTGGGCTCGCATGGCGTACCCGCATCTGATTCGGCACACTCCTCACGCGCTTCGTGGCCCCATGAGGGGCCCCACTGAAGGCCCCACTGGCTGGGTTCACGTGGCGTACCTGCACCCGAATCGGCACACTCTTCACACGTGTCGCGGCACCATGGGGGGCTCCACCGTTGGCCCCAGTCGCTGGGTTCGCATGGCATACCCGCCCCCGATTGGGCACACTCCTCTCGCGTTTCCGGGCCCATGGGGAGCTCCACTGCAGGCCCCAGTGGCTGGGTTCGCATGGCGTACCTGCACCCGAATCGGCACACCCCTCGCACGCTTCGTGGCACCATGGGGAGCTCTACCAAAGGCCCCACCGGCTGCGCTCGCACGGCGTAGTCGCCATCAATTCGGCACACCCATCACGCGTTTCGTGGCCCCACAGGGAGCTGCCAATCTTTCGCCCCACGTACCTCGCGACATTCGCATCCGCATAAGGTTGGATCCTGCGCCATGATCAATTTAATAGCTCGGTGGCATGGCCTAAGCATGTTGCGCCTTGCTCTTGAAGCGTATTTTTGGCATCCAACAGCAGCTTCGTGGTAGGGATGTAGGAAAATTGTGGCGGTCGGTCCCTGCTCAATGCTTGTGGTGTGTTTTTGTTTGCCCACGCAGGCCTGGAACGGGGTGCCCGCCACCGGCGTGGTGGACGGTAAGCCGCTGGTGCCGACGCTGGTGTCCCAGGACACGGCCTTGCGTGAGAGGCTGAAGGGCTGCCCGTTCGGAGACCCCTCCGACGTCGCGTCCGTACGGCTCTCGGCGAGCCGAAACACACTGGCGCAGGCGCACGCGAGCGCCTCCCGCGCAGCCATCCGGGCGCAGCTTGGGCGCGTGATGTGGGAGGTGCGGTGCTCCGAGGCGCTGCTGAGGAGCGAGGAGGACGAGGCGAAGGACCGCGCAACAAGGCCAGAGAAGCCGAAGAAGCTGGACCCCAAGGAGGCCCTGGGCGGCTCGCTGGTGGGGGCCGCGGTGCTGCACATGCGGCTCCTCGAGCTGGCAGCCGCCCGCGAGCTGCTCCGGCGCGCCGCCGTGCTTGGCTGCACTGACCAGCGCCTGGCCCTGCTGGGCTGCTGCAGCGCGCAGCTCCAGGCCCCGCGGGACCCGGAGCTGCTGGGCGGGCTGCCGGCGCTGCTGGGCAGCGGCGTCGATGCCGCTCTGCTGGGCGAGGTGCGGCGCGCGATCCTCGGCGCCGGCTACACTGCGGCCGGCGTGCTGGGGGCCACGGGCTGCAGCTCTTTGGCAGCGCTCGCGCACCCGGACGCCCTGACGGACCGCACCGAGCGCCTGCTGCTGCAGCCGGGCGAGGCCTCCCTGCGTCTCGCCGACCTCGTGCGAGTCTTCTTGCTGCACAGGGTGTTGCCCCTGGCGCGCCTCCGCGAGCTCCTCGGTCGCGGCCCGTGCGGGCTGCTGCTGAGGCTGCGGCTGCTCGCGGCCACAGAAAGCGCGAAAAGTCTACATTGCCCGCTGGTGCCGGCGGCTGCTGCGGACGGTGCGCTCGAGGCAGAAGGCTGTGGCGGACTGCAGGCCTTCTCGAACGTTTCGCTCTGGCCGGTCGAAGACGACCTGCTGATCGTCACGGATGTCACGCAGACCTTTTCATCAGAGGAGGTGGAGCCAGTGCAGCACCTGACGGAGAGTTCCTTGGCGTTGGCACTCGCGGCGCCGCGGCGGAGGGTGGGCTCCTTGCTGGACGTCTGTTGCGGCAGCGGCGTCCAGGGAATCGTGGCGCTCAGGCACTACGCCGACAGGGCGACCTTCGTGGACCTGAACCCTCGTGCGGTCGCGTTCACGCGGTTCAACCTCGCCCTCAACGGCATGTCCGACAGGGCGGACGGAGTCCACCAGGGAAGCGTGTACGAGGCCTTGCCGGAAGCGACGGGCAAGTTCGACGCCGTGCTGGCCAGCCCTCCCAGCGCCCCGAACCCGCAGAAGATCGCGGCCGAGCTCTGTGGCATGCACACCGACGGCGGCGACTCTGGAGATGAGGTTCTCGAGCGGGAAACATATCTGTTACCACACCTTCGTGGTCTGGATGCCGGGGCGCGATCCGTCGGATACGCGGTCGCAGAAATACGCTCCGCGCGGGGCATCCGCGAAAAAACAAAAAAACGCAGCTTATCCGTGGGGGCGCGGCCCAGGGGCCCGGCCCGCGAGGTCGCGGATACGGATACGGCAGGGGCGTTCGTGAAGGAATGCACCCATGAGGCTCCTTATCTGATGAGGGCGGCGGTGGCATCCATGGCCGAGCCGCAATCCTAACGCTCTTCCAGATTTAAGTCCCTGGGTTCCTTACCCAAGGGTAGTCCTCGGACGCGTAGAGAGATGAACGAATGCCATCACCTTGTGCTGTTCTCCCACGAGAGGTGGTGGCGGCAGTGGTGGCGGGTGCGCCCAGGATCTTGGCGCCTGGCGGCTGGCTCGCGCTGGCGGCCAGCACGACCTCCGCGCAGGCCTTCGTTTTCAGATTCATTGTTTTGCCGATCGGCGCGGGCCCTCGCACCCCCTCTCCTCCTCCCCCCCTCCTGGAGTAGATCTTGGTTGTTTTTGGCGCCTGCTTCGGGCAGGTGGAGTCTCCCTCATTGGACGCACTGCTGCAGACAGTCGCACTGAGCAGAGGTCTGGAGCCAGACCCCCCTCCTCCCCCAATTCCGCCCAATGTCGAAACGTCGATAAAGAACACGCTCACCAGGAGCTGCCCGCGAGGCTCCAGGAGCTCTGCCCAGGCCTCCGCGGGCTCGTCTTCTGCGGCGCGGCGGCGCCCGTGCCCGACAGGGCCGCCATCGCCAGCCCGGCGGAGAGGCAGCTCTACGAGGCGGCGCTCCGGCGGGCCGGCATCACGACGCTGGCGGAGGTTCGGGAGCCTTGAGACGGGGGTCAACGCACACAGGGGTCAGCCAGAGCGCCCGATCTTGCAGGATCCTGCAGGGGGAGGGGCGCACTGACCCGGGCTTGGATGCAGGATCCTGCAGGATCTTGCAGGATCCTCTGCGTTGGCCCGGGTTTGGGTGCATGATCTTGCAGGAACTTGCAGGATTCTGCAAGGCCTGGTTGACCCGGGTCTGCATTGACCCGGGTCAGAAGATCCCCGAGAGGTGGTAGCGCTGCTGTCGCCAGGCCCAGGCATGCGGCGTCTCGGAACTGTCGCGACGGAAGTTCTCATAGTTTGCGGCCTCCTCTTGGGGCCCTGAAACCAGGCCTCGGGACCGTCAAGCAACGATTCGGGATCAAGAAGCGACCCCAGGAAGTGGTCTAGAAGCTCGGGCGCCCGTGTCTCGAAAACGAGCGAGACTCTGGATGTCGTGGGGAGGCCCTGCCGCGGGCCCGCGGGCCGCGCCGGAGGCGGTGGCCCTCTGCGGCGAGCCGAGGCCGAGCCTCTGGGCGGACCAGCCCTTCCTGCGGACCCGGGTGCGGGAGGCCTTCGCGGCGCGCGCCGCCGGGCAGGAGGGGCCCGCGGCGGGCGCGCCCGAAGGCGGGGGCATGCCGGCCGAGTGGAGGGAAGCCGCGGGGGGGCGAAGGGTGGCACAAACACAGAAGCTCGGAGGTCCGCTCGGAGATGTCTCGCATCTCCGCGCTGGACCCCCCTGGCGGCGCCTCCGGCGCCGCTCCTGGCGCGCGGGGTCCAGCGCGGATGCGAGAAGCCTGCGGCGGACTTCCGAGTTTCTGCGTTTTGGTGCCACTCTTCGTTCCCTTGGAAGCACTGGAGACCCTCGGCCTGTGGTGCCCGGCCGAGGGGCCCGCGCACCAGGATTCAAGCAGTGGCGAAGCGTCCTGGCTTGCCTAGAGGCTCACCAAAGAATGTTCTTCTCATCTCTCGTAGTCTGCACGAGCTGTTCTCAGAACGCTTCTGCCTGATACTGTCTTGGTTTAACACATCGGTGCATGCTTTAAGAACATTCTTTTTGTTATTACCACATGTTTGGGTTCTAAGCTCATGTCGTGGTAGGCCTATAGGAATGCCGGAACGGTCGGTCCCTGCTCAAAGGACGGCCCGTCGGCGGAGGCTGGCGCCGGTCGCCGCGGCGCTTCCGCCCAGGACATCGGCTTCCTGCAGAGCCTGCTGGAGCAGGGAGTCCCCTGCAGCCTGCCGGGGTTCCATGGCCAGCGGTCGGTGTCTGTCCCGAGGTGCCAGGAGGAGGGAGGAGGGAGGTAGGAGGAGGGAGGAGGGAGGAGGGAGGTGAGGAGGAGGAGGAGGAGGAGGAGGAGGAGGAGGAGGAGGAGGAGGAGGAGGAGGAGGAACAGGAGGAGGAGAGGAGGAGGAGAGAGGAGGAGGAGGGAGGAGGAGAGGAGGAGGAGGAGGAGGAGGAGGAGGAGGAGGAGGAGGAGGAGGGAGGAGGAGGAGGAGGAGGGAGGCGGAGGAGGAGGAGTAGGAGGAGGAAGGAGGAGGAGGAGGAGGAGGAGGAGGAGGGAAGAGGAGGAGGAGGAGAGGGAGGAGGAGGAGGGACGGGGAGGCGGAGGAGGAGGAGGAAGAGGAGGAGGGGAGGAGGAGGAGGAGGAGGAGGAGGAAGGAGGACGAGGAGGTGGAGGAGGAGGAGGAGGAGGAGGTGGAGGAGGAGGAAGGAGGGAGGAGGGAGGAGGGAGGGAGGAGGGAGGGAGGGAGGAGGGAGGAGGGAGGGAGGGAGGGAGGGAGGGAGGGAGGGAGGGAGGAGGGAGGGAGGGAGGAGGGGGGAGGGGGAGGAGGGAGGGAGGGAGGGAGGGGAGGAGGAGGCGGAGGAGGAGGAGGAGGAGGAGGAGGAGGAGGCGGAGAGGAGGCGGAGGAAGGAGGAGGAGGAGGAGGAGGAGAGGAGGCGGAGGAGGAGGAGGAGGGAGGAGGAGGAGAGAGAGGAGGAGGGAGGGAGGAGGGAGGGAGGAGGGAGGAGGAGGGAGGAGGGAGGGAGGGAGGGGAGGGAGGGAGGGCGGAGAGAGGGAGGGAGGGGGGGGAGGAGGAGGAGGAGGAGGAGGAGGAGGAGGAGGAGGAGGAGGAGGAGGAGGAGGAGGAAGAAGAAGAAGAAGACGAAGAAGAAGAAGAAGAAGAAGAGGAGGAGGAGGAGGAGGAGGTGGAGGGGGAGGGGGAGGGGGAGGGGGAGGGGGACTCTTGCACTGGAGTTGTGGGCTGGGCCGCCGCGGCCGCTGCCGCCCAAGCGGTCGGGCTGCGCTGCTGTGCCATGCCGACTGGGCGCGGTTGTCGGTAGCTCTAACTGGTCCCGCGCGTGGGAGGATGTTGAAGGCTCGGGTCGAGTCGAAAGGGCAGCGGTAGGAGACGGGCCTGGGTAGTGTTGGAGTCGGAGTCTATCGCCTGGCACGCCTGGCCTCATTGGGTTGTTTCCTGCACTGGGGGCGCATCAAAGTAGGAGAGAGCGTGCGTAGGTCCGTAGTTGTGTCGGCTGCGGTGGGAGAAAGCGAGGGGTCAGGAAGAGGCTTAGGCGTCCTAGTGGGTCCAGCTCCTGGTACTTTACAGTCGGGGCGCTGAAGAAGGAACCCTGCTCGTTGGGGAGTGGCTCCGTGTTCCTTAAGCGTTTCGTAGTTTGCCTCAGGTTGTCCTTAGGTTTTCGATGGAAAATCGAAGTTTCACTGATGGGAAAAAGAGGCTTCGCTCCATATTTAGGGTTCCTCAGGTCAACGCCCCGGCTGTAGGCGTCCTGGTCGGTCCAGCTTCTAGTACTTACTGTCATGGTTCGGTCTTGGTTCGGCTTCTCCCTCGACTCCTGAAGCCCCGTAGTGGGTGAATGCTTTGGATGCCCTTGATTGTCCCCTCTGGCGGGTGGGGCAGGTGAGCACCGATGTCGGTTTGCAGTCTTCTCGTTGGTGGGTTCCAGACGTAGGCAGGTCCACGTTCGTACACGTACTCGGACAGCTTCTGTTGTCGTGAGGTCTTGATTCCAGTAGTTGGTTGCCTGGTCCTGCACCTGAGGCCGGTGTGCCTAGTAGTGGTGAAGGTAGTGGTTGGGGTGGTGGTGAGACCGAAAAAAATTGAGAGTAGGTTGGCGGGTAGTGCGGCCAACCTTTTCTCATTGTTGTCCCATGGCCTGGTCGTCTTCCCTGTGTCAGTAGCCATGTGATCATGTGTAACGTTGTACCCGATAGTAAGTAGCCATGTGCGTATTTCCGCCATGTGGTCCCCGAATCGTGAAGCTTTTTCTCGCAGTATCGCATATCGTTCGAGGTCGCTGCTGATCTGCATCGCGAGTGTTTCCTCGTTGGTGTACGGCGAGGTTGGAGGGGGTGCCGATCGCTGGATGGCCTTGGTCCCGTGGATCCTGCGGAGGCGCTCGCCGGGCCCGCAATTGCTGTCGGTTGAGGGCTGCTGGGCTTCTCTAGTGGCTGGATCACATGTCCGCGGCGCCTGCCTGCGTTAGGCCTCGGCGACCCTCTCTGAGCCCGTCTTTTGGCCTCCTGGGCTGCTCTTCTTGGCGCCCAAGAGCGCCAGCGCCAGCCCCAGGGCCTGCTTGAACACATCCTCCTTGAAGCATAGGATCTTCTCGCACTGGGCATGGTCTAGGTTCTGTTCGTATAGTGCCGCCCTGAACGACGGCGGCGTATTGATCGTGTGTATGACCTGGGTCATGCGCTGCTCCGTCTCCATCTCCTCCTCTGACGGCTTGTACGCCTCCTGGATCTTGCATTGCAGGACGTTGGTCTCCATGGCTGGTCCAGTGCCCCATGAACTCCGTGAGGGTCTTGGCCCCGTGCTGCATCGGTTGGTCGTTGTCTTGCACCTTGGTCTTGAGCGCCGCCACAATCCCCTCCACGAAGGCCGCCGCGACGTGGCCGTGAGGTGGTCCGTATCCATGGCCCTTGCCTTTGGCCTTCACTTTCTTGTCGTACTCGCGGCCTGTCTCTATGGGGGACTGGATCCACTCTTCCGCGAGGAGGGCGAGCCAGAACTTCTTCGTAAGGTGGGAGAGGTTGCGGATTTCGGCTGGGTTCTGCAGGGCCAGCCCCTGTAGTGCACGTATGGTGAATCGCAGCTCTGCTTGCACTCCCTCTCCTCCCCCACCTGGGCCTCCACCTTCTCCTGGGGGTCCGCGACCTCGTCCTCCTCTTCGGGTTCCTGGCTGGGACGCTTGGCTGCCGCTGCCCTCGCCGATGTTGGCCTGCTTTTGTGGTCATAGCTCTTCTGGTCCTGACGGCGGCGGGCGCTTGACTCGCCACTCCATCGTCTCCACCTCGGCGTTTCAGGCTGTGCGCAGCTCCGCTTTTAGCCGCTCTGATCTGGTCTGGGCCCGCAAGGTGCTTTCGTATGCGCGCTTGACACTCCTGTAGCGTTTGAGCCTGATGGGTACACATCCGGCATGTTAGTGCCCTGGGTTATTGTATGGATTGGGCCCACTTGGACCTGTCCTGGTGACATATCGCGTGTTAGTGGGCCGATCTCGTGGCATGGCCGATCATTCTTGTTCTGTCTACGAACGTACTCTTACACCACGGACACTGGCTGATAACTGTTACTGCTGCCACAACTAGTCTTATCTTAGGTACTTCCCGTCGGTGCCCTGCAAGGGCCGCGTAGATGTGGTATCTCTGTCCTCATAGTGTTTCCACTACCCCCGTGCCAACAGGGACATGGTTACACCAGTAGGGTCGTAGTAAGTCTTCCTACTCCCCTCAATTGACCCCAGTGACCTCCTCCTCCCGCCTCGCTCGTACATCCCAGTTTTCCCATAGTTGTACAGTACTGTTTTGTGTTCCCTGTTTTGCATATGGCCAGATCCGAGTTCCTCTTCGCGTGCCATCCCATCCCCTCGTCTCTCTCGAACAGTAACTGCATATTCGCTGCAAATTGTTGGGCCCATATGTCCTATCCGACCCATGTCCGTAAGCCTCCAGACACCCTTGATACGTCTAGTCGGGAGGAGCCAAGCACTGCAGCGAGCACCGCTTCGAGCTCCGTCGGGTTGCGCGACCAGCTCTGCTACCACAGCAGTCGTCGTACCGTCACTGCAAGACTTGAACGTTACATCCTCAAGTACCCGAATACTTGTCGTAGGTTGTTGCAGCATGTGGTGCCGTCCTCCTTGTTCCCAAGGCATAGCCCTCCCTGCTAGTGTACGTAAGTAGTTGCCTAGTACACTGTCTAACGCATTGGTGCGTGCTGTGGTTGTAACAAGTGCCGTTATTTCGCTGAGGCCGCGCCTATGATGACGGTCGTGTACATGAGTCGTTTGATCTGGCGTGATGTGTCGGATGTCTGGAAGGTACCAGATTGTCACCACGCCAGTCTGATCGCACTAATGCATCTGGCTATTTCGCCTGTGATGCCTTGTCCTGCTGGCAGGTACGGCCCCAGTACCCTCATTTCTCTGAGGGCGAGCCCTGATAGGGTCGTGCTGCGTCGTAAGGCCTTGGTAGTACCGTAGTTACCCCTGCCCACTGTGGTTAAGGCCCCAACCTCCTTCCTTCCGTGTGTCGGCCAGTCGGTCGGTGATGTTGTTGTTTTCTATCTCTATCTCTTGTGCCGTGGCCATGTCTTGTATTGTTTGTACATGGGTGATGTCGTCATCGCATGTGTTGAGGCCTATGCCGTGTGTTTTGCCTCCCACTGGGTTGCACGTGTCGTGTATAGTTTGGTTTGGGTCGCTTCTCTCCTGTGACCACCATTTGCTGACGTATATGTTGCATGCGCCGCTAAATTGTCGTGGGCAGAGGGTAAAATCATGTTGTGCTCCAGTTGGGCTGTCCACTTCTACTGGGCCATCAGCCGCCTCTAGTGTCATGGTGGAGTGGTCGATGGCAGCCATTACGTAGCGTTGGTCGCTTGCGTGCGCATGTTTGAATGCTACCGCTTTTATTATTGTCCGGGAAGGGTTGCGGGGAGTGGGGCGCAGCACTAACCCGCGCGGACCTCCGAAAGTTTGTGGCGGCGCCGTCTGGTCGGTCTTCTGCTCCAGGCCGGCCACCCCGGTCGAGTGGTGTCAGAAGTGTCTTTGGCTGGCCGAATGTGTCCCCAGGTCCAGGATCTCGAGGATGAAGCCCCCCCACGGCCTCCAGAGCATCCCCCACGAGTCCCAGAGGACACCTGGGTCTCCAGAGTGGCGCGACAGCCCAGGGAGACCTTGGGGCCAGGATCCTTTCTAGCAACACCCGACCCAGACCCTGGCGCCATGATCGTTCCACGACGTGGACCCAGAGGTCCGGGCCCCTTGCTCGAGACCAGTCTTTCACCACAGGTTGTTCTTGAGGGACCCCAGACGACGAAAATAGCAACATAACATAATTGCATTCGTGATTCGTTCATGACCCGCGGGGGTCTGGGGACCCTGGCACCCGGGGGTGGCCACCAAGACCACGGCCCCAGCCTGGCTTCTTCCCCGCCGAGCACGTGGTCCCTGGGCCGGGCTGGGACGAGGCGGCGCAGGACCTGCAGACGCTGCGTTCCACCCTGTACGCGGCCAGGGCGCTGCAGAGGGTCGCGCTGGCGACCGGGCCCGGCTGACTGAGCGCGTGCTCCGCATCCTCCCCTGCCCAGGTTCTGCGCATTCGAGTGCAGCGCCAGGTGCACGGTTTCCCCCGGGGCCGTAGGCGACCCGAGGAGGAGGAGGAGGACGAGGAGGAGGAGGAGGAGGAGGACGAGGAGGAGGAGAAGGAGGAGGGGGAGGAGGAGATGGAGGAGGAGGAGGAGGAGGAGGAGGAGGAGGAGGAGGAGGAGGAGGAGGAGGCGGAGGAGGAGGAGGAGGAGGACGGGTTGCCTAAGCCCTTCGGGGAAACCCTCCAGCGTCAGGGGAGGCGGCCAGGCTCGAGGTTCCAGTCTCGAGATTGTCGGTGGTTCCCGGTGGTTCTCGGCGGTCTCTCAGCCTCGGGGCGGACCATCGGAGCCCACGTCGGTGGGTTCCGATGGTCCGCCCCGCATCCGCACGCACACGCTGAGCGCTCACACTCCGCCTCTCCGCTCCTTCGCCCCCTGTCTCTGAGTCTTCCCCTGGCCATCGCATTCTCCCTACCTCGCTTCCGCGCTGGCCTCATGCGCGATCCTATCTAGCCCCTGCCAAGATAGTGGACTGACATTCGGTGAAAGGGGGGCTGCGCCGGTCAGTATGATCATCGTAGGGCGCGGATATCGCAGGGACGCTCTTCTCACCTTGATGCGGAAGCTGGCCAGCGGAAGCCCTGATACCTATAGGGGGCCAGTCCGAGTGTCAGGAACTCGGTGCGGCTCTGAGCAACCAGTGTTTCGAGGCCGCAGGAGGGCTGGGGGCTTGGAGGCCCCGGGGAAGACAGGGTAAACTTTTTTCATCGTCTTCACCACCATGTTCCGTCCTTCTCCGACCTGGGTGCGGAAGCCGACCGGCGGAAACCGTGACACCGAAAGGGCCAGTCTGAGTGTCACGGACTCGGCGCTTCGCGGGCATGGCCCATGGCCGAGACCTCCTGTTTTTTCGACGGCATCGTCTTCGTCACCATCGCCGTTGCTTTCCGCAGCAGCTGGCTCGAGCCTTGGCGAGACATTCCCTGGGCCCTTTGTGGGCCCTGGAAACGACAGGGCCGTTTTTTCGCCGGTTCCGTTTTGCCGTTTTCTTGCCGGTTCCGACGCCGTTTTTTACCGGTTCCGTCGCCGTTTTTTGACTGGTTCCGGCTCTGGTTCCAATCCTGGAGCCGTTTTTTTGCCGTTTCCGGTCGCCGTTTTTTGCCGTTACCATTTTCAAGGGACGTTTTCTCGGAAAAGGTGAAAAAACGGCCCTGCCGTTTCCGGGGCCCACTAAGCCTTGGCCCACCCGCCCACCT